GCGAATTCCCTTTTCGACCTATTCGCGGTACTTTAAGAAGACCATATTTGCAAAGGACATATTGTTATATAGCCAGTACACAAAATCTGTTTGAAACTTTGCTAGCATAACAGCGGAATTTAACGAAATACACTTAACGAATGTTAGCTGTTCAGCCAGTTTAGCTTATTTAACGTAACGTTAAGTTATATTAGTTTCAAATGTAGCATACTCTCGGGCTGAAAATTTCTGTTATATCTGTGGATTTTATATGCGAGGACTTGCTGTTATAAAGTCAAGACACCAAGCATTGCTACAGTCGTTTTCATTTAATCCTTCAACTGTGCGAAAAGGGAATTTTGTCAAATGTTAATAATTAAGGAGCGCTGTTAAGTTACGGTGTAGCTTATGTTAATATTAAAACCTTACATTTTATGTTAAATTAACTCTTTAGAGATAAGGGAAACTGTTAATCTATTCATTTAAATTTAAATTTTTAATTTAAGATTATAATTGAGAGCCTTACTGCACTGAGTCCCACCCTTTACCCCTTGGTACTTCTTCCAGTCGAAACTCCACCTTCTCAAACTGTTTTGCTTCTTGGTAATTTTTATGGAATTGAAATCTGTTTTGCGCAGCAACTAATCAACTCTGAGCACAAAACGAAATCTTGGCTACGCCCACTGTTGGCGGCGCAGATGAAAGACAGACGAGAGCACAATGCTTAAAAGTGTCCTCGTAGATCACCGTGCTGCACAGTGCTCTATCGCTCGATAGCTCGCTGTCGGAGAAGACACGCTTCACTATGGTTTAATTGCTTTGAAATAAGCCACACCCACGGTGCCGAAAATTTCATCTTGCACGCACATTATGGCTGTCGTGGGGTAAGGGGCGGTCCGCTTTGATCTGCAGGATCAGAGCGGCCGGCGAGGGGCGCGCTGTCAATTGCGGTTGGCTTGAAAAGCGGTTTGGTTACGCTGTTGACGCTGTTGATTCTGTTCCCTTGGCCCAGCTCTTACTTATCCTAGACTGAGAGAATGAAGTGTGTAATTCGAAATTAGCTGAGCTCTGCTCAGCGGCACCTTTGTGCGCACCTGCTGGCAACATGTCCTTGTGCTCGGCTACTCAGTTACGCGTCAGATAAGGACACAAAGGATCCGCCGCTATGCGTAGCAGTTGCCTCTGCATCTATCCATCTATCTGTGTCTACCTACATATAGACCTATATAGACATATATAGTTATTGATTTGTTTGCTGCGGCGACTTCATTCAGTCGTCCAAATCGATTTGCATGTTTCGAGTTAATTCGTTACCGATTCAAAAACCTAACTTCAAAAGCAGAATTTATAACCGCACACATCTGTATCTACATTTATAATCTGACTAATTTTAGGATAATCATATCAAAAGTAAAAAAAAAAAAAAAAATCTATTCAAATAAACAAAGCTGAACGAACCAAGTCCGCCTGCATAGACGACTGTGATTGCTGCTAATCAGGTTTTCTTCTCAGCCAAATTAGATTTCATTTTCATATTTCAATTTCGAAACAGTCGAACAGTCGAGCAACCGCACAAAATGCAAAATCAGTAAGACCAGTAGTCGCGACATGATATAAATTAACTGTTTTGACTTTGTGAAATGAAATGCGGCCTCTTTGAAATTCCAATTCAAATCGATCTCTTGCAGCAGCGCCACTGAACAAAAAAAAAAAAAAAAAAAAAAAAACAGTGGGTGACCGAATCACAAAAAAAAATAACGGAGAACGGCATAGCTAGCATGACTATAAAATACCTTACAAATACGAGATTCCTACAATAGTTAAAAGCTTGACTAGAAAGATATCCATATAAATATTTTAATATTGAACTTAGAGTTAACTCTAGAGAATATTCAACAAATAGAAAGGCATATCAAATCTTTTAAGCAGTAGATATAAATATAGCTACAAATACATTCATTCACCTCAATGACATTTGGACTCTAGACATAGCTTAACTATTATTGAACTAGCCAAGCTTAGCTCTAATCGCTAAAGGGTATATCATATGTGATATTTAAAATATCATTAAGAGTAGTATTGGGCTTTTTTGGCTGGGGTGCTGGCCATATCTTGGTATCGTTAGAGTTGCCAGCGCACCGATTTCTTTTCGGCTTAAATGGTTTATGTGCGTTTGCAACCAGTTTAGGCCGTTGCCGCTGCCGCTGCTGCTGCTGCTGCTGTTGCCGTTGCTGTTGCTGTTTTCGTATTCCATTTAAAGATTTAGGTGGGCCGTGGCCGGCGCCTTTGAAGCGTGCATCTCGTTTACCACGTGCCGAGCCCCACTCAAACTGAGAGACTGCGGCTCAGATTGAGTTTGAGACGAGCTTCCGACTGGGCTTTTGCGTCAGCAGTCGCAGCAGGAGTTACAAAATATGCCGACTGATCCAATGATCCAATCAAATCAGCGACAAAAAGCACCATTTGAATTAATAAACAAAAATGTTTATCAATCTATAAATATATATATACATACATATATATCGAGATATGTATATGCATATCTGAGTTTATTATTAATAAATATGCATTTTGATATTCAGTCTCTCAAGCCGAGTAGCGATTCAAACGATTTTAATGAGGTGCTCAGCATTTTATGATTTAATTAAGCCTCCATTCCGCAGTTGTTTACTTCGATTTTATTATGAGTAACTAGTATATATCTATATATATAAATATATATTTATATAGAGCCTAAGCCCCCATTTGTTGTGCCTTAATTATGAACGTTTTAAATTCTTAATGAATGCCCCATTTGGCGATTGCCGACGGCCGAGGACGGGGGTGTTCAGCTCTTCAGCGACTTCAGGCATGCGACAATGATTTAAATGATAACGAAGACCATCTGCATAATATAGTAGAAGCCGCTATTTTGGCATTACGGAAAGTTTCTATAAAGGGAAGCCCCAACTGGAACAAACCGGAGCAAAAACTAGCCCCATTCATGGATCCATTAGGCAGCTAAATAATTATATACGAAACTATTCCCACTCTGGCAATTCAGCGAACTCTTTTCCAAACAAACTTATAAATTAGATGATTTAAAAGTCTCATACATACTATGCTAAGATTTCGGTTTCTTTTCATACTCCATAGCTATTAAATAGCTAATCTAGACCTAATGTCATGTCACAATATCCATCAAGCCCTCCACTTTCAGTTAATCCTTTTGACCACTCGCTCACTTCCGCATGCCCTTAACAATAACATCGACAACAGCAACAACAACTGAGGTTGGTAAGAAGCGTGTAAGAGCTGCCCAAAGAGAGCTTGGACATGGAGGTCCGTCCTAAAGGGGAGCTGGCGACATATGTAGGTTGCGTTTTGTAGCTTAGAATCAACGTCGGATCAGCGCAAATCTCTGTGATCTCTGTGAATGTGGATATGTTGCCTTCGCTGCCGCTGCTGGCACCTCTGTCGCTGCCGCTGCCTCAGTCGCTGCTGCTGCCGCTGTCGGTTGAACACTTTGATGTCCTAATTGGTTTATTACTTTGTCGGCATCTCGAGTCTTCTTTGTGTTTTTGTGTTTTTTATTCTTTTTTATGCTGTTGCCTGTTTTATTTATTTCTTTATTTCTTTGGGTTTTCATGCGGCCGCTGTGCTGCATTGTGTAAAAAAAAAAAAAAAAAAAATAAAACGCGCCCGTTGCGGCTCTCGAATCCCGAGCCAAGCTCCAGCTTCAAGCCCCAAAGCGGCTGAGCACGCGCACAGCACGGGAATGGGCCAGGGGCATGGCTACATACACTCCAAGGAAGCCACCCCGCCCCGCCCCCTGTCGCTCTGCCACCCCTCTACATGGCCTATTCTTGTTTACAATGTTACCGCGTGTGCGTTCAATCAACATGTTGCGATATCAGCGCAATTTGTCATCCCATAAACAACAATGCAACCTGGCTAAATGCTTGCCCCTATATCATATGCCGGCCGAGGCAATAATCGGTTGCAGAAAGACTATACTTATGCGTGCATGCGATGCTCAGGCGAACAAAGGGAAGACCTACCTCAACCAAATACATTGTAGCCCTACCATAAAAGGTGTGCGCTTTAAGCAACAGTTACAAATAATCATTCAACTTGTTGCAATTTGATATTCTTGTACAAATTTTGTGTAAATTCATAATTTTATATATAAAATTCTCGTATACAAATATGTTTATATATAATTTATATATGTTTATATATTTATTATATTATAATGTTTATATTAATTTATTCTTCCTCCTTGTTGACGATTCTTCCTACGCTGTAGGCGTAGTTGACGCAGCTGACGTCGAAGTCGCCGCTCCAGTCTGATACGCAGCCGCCTAAGCTGCTGTAAGCGCCGTCTACGTGCATTCGACAATCTGATGGGGCTGAGGTTGAGGTTGAGGCTAGGGCTTGGGCTGAGGCTGGGGCTGGGGGCGGAGCCGGGGCTTGGGGTGACGCTGGGTCTAACGGTGCTGATGATGCTAGCAGTGGTGCCGGTAATTCTAGCAGTGGTGCTGGTAGTTGTTTCAGCTCTTCTAGTAGTATCGTCGTAGCTGTAATCCGGATTATGATATTCATAATCGCTGCTAGCCAACTGAACCAGCAAGCAGCAGCAGAATAATCCAAAAAGTAGAACAATAGTCGACCGCATTGTCAAAAGCGAATGATATGACTTGATAACCCAATCAACTTATATATTATATTGTTAGCCGAGCAGCTTGACTCAACAGCTGTTCTCTAAGGTGTGCGCAGTTGGTTTCTGTTTACGTGCGGCGGATATAGTAAATGACTTCCGATCGATAAAATAAACACAAATTGTCAAGTTCACAATGAACTTACATTTCCAATGTCGATATATTGGTTAAATAAACAATTTACACCAAATTTCATTTCATTGTTCATTTGCTCATTCGTTTCATTAACACTTTAACAATTGTTTGTAAAAGATGTTTTATATGGGGTCGGATTATTATACTTTTAAGATGTATCAGATTCAGTAAAATAAAGCTGATATATAAATTCATATTTCTTTGCAAGTCCTGCTTCCGATGTATTTAACTGTATATAATCCCTTACAATCGAATATGGTATCTTGAATTATATTTTTCATAAGCGCCATTTGAGTCGTCCTAGCCTCTGCTTCTACTTCGCTGCTGCAGCGGACGTTAGCGTTGCTGCTTTTGTCTCATTCTAAATCCCTTAGCATACTAAAGATATACATGTAAAAGTTATTTTGAAACTCAATAAGTATACTAAAAATAATTCTCAGGCTTACCGTTTCATATCGATAATTGTTTATTGTTATGCCACGAATCCTTTTCCATAGTGAAATCATAATCAATAATTTCAAGATTTTCGGCAGCAAAAAGTCTGTGAGCTGCGCCGTTAACACAGAATGCAAATTCATCAGTTTGCCGTGCCACGGTTCTGCAGAGGCTGCAGCAATGTTGCAGCACTCAATCAACATGTTGCGATATCAGCACAATTTGTCATTCTATAGGGAAGAGCGGACGTGGCCATGGCCATGGCTTTGACTGCTGCTGCTGCTGCTGCTACACAGCGCTGAGACAATGTTAACCGAAATCTCACATCTACCATGTCGCATCTTTGGCAGCTCTGGCCCGCTGCGCTGCCAAGTTTCGTACGGTGGTCCTGTCTGATGTTTGCCGTATTCAAAGCATAAGAAAACTCAATCAAGAGGCTCGTAAATCTTGGCACAATTTGATGAGCGCTCAGTGGGAGACCCGTCTCCAGCATCGTCTGCATCTTTGACTGTGTCCGTGTCTGTGTCTCCGTCTGTGTCTGCATCGTCGTCTCTGTCTTCGGCTCGTATAAGAGGTCTTCGGCTCGGCTTATTGATTATCAATGCTGGTGCCGCATCGGGGACCATTTCCGATTCGTCATCATGAGACGAGTGAAGTTTCAATCTGCTCCGAAATATATTATAAGAAATATATATATATAAGAACTCTGATGTACGCTGTGTGTGGCGCATTCTGAGTGTTTTGACAGCATGGCACACACACACACACACGCACACACACATACAGTTACCAGTTCCACCTAAATTTGATGCAGCACAAGCCCAGGCGACGATCACAGGCGACTTCAAAAGTGTGCGGCTGAGCGTTATTGATCGTCCATGTCCCGCTGTTGTGATCCGCTCCCAGCATGAGGCATTACAAAAGGCCCAGTGATGGCAACAATGCCGCTCGTTGTCGCCGTTGCAGTTGCCCATAATCTACGCACGCACACATTGACAAAGTCGGTCCTTTTGAAGGTCCTTTTGGCCAAAGTTCCCGAGCTCACACACACACTCACACATACACACATGTATACAATGCTGGCTGCGCTGCATATGCAAAACACAATGAAGTTCTTTGAAGCACGGCGCGTCAGGTAAGCGACAATTATTTATCTTACAAATTTACCTGAAATTAAATACTTACGCTGCGAAGCTAAAGTGCTCAGCCAGGCAATGCCACACACGCAGATACCCTGGAAACGGAATAGCAAAGGAGGAGAGGAGAGACAGATTAAGGCAAATTATTGAATACAATTCTGATATATATAGATATATAATGTGTATATATATGAGTTTTTCTCACAGCATCTCAGATCAGGATTCTCTTTGTCCGTCTTTTAGCTGCACATACCCAATTTGTACATTTGATGTTAACAGGGCAACAAAAGGGCGACAAATTCCCCCTTTTTAATCAGCGGCACACACTTTGATCACCTGACACACACACACACACACACACACACAGATGCATATACGTGCAGACAAGGCCGCAGTTTCAGTTTCAGTTGCAGTTGCTGTGGGAACTTACCTGGCCACAAGGTGTGACAAGTCAGCGGATTTGCGTGTTTTCCTGCGAAATATTTAAATGCAAGATTATCGCCACACAGGCAACAGCGAACAGGCAACAGGCAGCAGCTGTTGCCAACAAAAGACTCGCTAACTTAATCCTGCGGCCTGCCCTTTTGATCTGCTGCTGCTGTACTGGCCGACTGGCCGGAGCGTTAACTAATTAGCAGCTGGACTGGCATTTGCCTCATTTCCGCCACAAAACAATTTCGATTAAGGCGAACTTAAAGCAAAAAGCTACCGACAACAACTAATCCAATCATAATCGCGCAATCATAATTACAACAATCTACCAAATGAAACGCAGACCCAGACCCCAAACCCCAGACAAAGACCGATGATGATCGAAACGGCTGGCGAGTGGCCAACCAAGCAGCCAAACTAACGGGCACAAACGAAACCCATAGATCTGGCCAGCATTGACTTCTATTGCTGTTGTCGGAGCAACTGCACACAGCAACAACAACAGCAACAGCAGCGGCAACAACAACAAGAATAACAAGCATCGACAACAGGTTGCTGCTGCCTGAAGTGCTTCGTGGCCAGACAAACGTTAAGATTGTAATAACCATGTTAAAAGCAATTTACGTTTAAAGTGCTACTGTGATACGCCGCCGATGCGTTTCTTGATTAAGAACCCAGAGACGCAACGACGAGAGCGGAGGCCTACACACACACACACACGTGCACACACACACAGACAGACTGGACAGTAAGTAGAAGGCTGCAGGAGCTGCCTTGTCTGTTCGTCTGCATTTATTTGGCGGCAAAAGTTGTTTTTTTTTTTTCGAACTTTCCTTTCATATTCACAGTCCACTTAACACGCGCGTCGCACAATGCGCCTCAAAACACAAATGAGCAGCAGAAACAGTTGTTGTTGTTGTTGTTAGTGTTAGTGCTGCTGCCCCAACGGTGGCGGCAGCCTCAGAAATCTGTGCCTCGGTCGGCACACTTTGATGTTGGGAATGGCGTGTGCCCAATGCAGAGATTCCGCTTTGTTGTTTTGCCGACGCCAGCGACGTCGTCGTCGACGTCGTAGTCGTCGTCGTCTTCGGGCATGCAACAGCAATTTGCCGCCAAGTGAGCCGCAGCAAGCGTGGAGCGTGGAGCGTGGAGACCATACACAAGAGATACAAACGAACAGAGACTGCGAAAGAGACACTGCGACGGAGAGCAAAGTCAACTTAAACTCAACTCCCAAAGATGCCCAAAGTGCCCAAGAGTGGCTCAGCTCCTACCAACACTTCAGAGTCTGCAGTGTTTGCCGTTATTTCTCATAGAGAAGTTTGTTAATTTGCCGTGGATTAAAATGTCATTAGTTTGCGAATCTCTAGCAAATGTGAATTTAGCATAGATGCTTAAATAAACTCTCAAATATCACCGATTGACATCGAATGCTCTGCAATTATAGCAACATAATAAATTTGATTTCTTTGTCTTGATAATTGACAAACAAATTACTTGAATCCTTTCAATTTCCTCGACTGTTCTATGATTAACAATTAAGAAATTAAAATCTCAATTTTTAACAAATTCTTCTACTGTTATTGTAAAATTAACTCAGCTAGTTACTCTACTGCCCTGCAAATAAATAAACTTGTTTATGCTCAATTTCATGTGACAGAACTTCAAACTTATGCGAAATAGTTGCAATTATGATGATAATCTGCTTAAATGAGAGCGCATGATGAAGAGCTGACTGGCTGGTTGGCAGCACCTGTTGCTTTTCCCACACAATGTTGCAGTTTGCAAATCGACAGCTGCAACAGTCAACAGGATCAAAGGCAGTTACCGTAACTCAGTCGAGGCCGAGCTGCATGATCCGTTAATAAAGTTGTGCGTCTTGGCTGAAATTTTAATTGCTTATCGAGCGCGACCTGGGCACATCTGTTGAAAGGTTAGAGCCTGAGATAGAAGACCAAATAGAAAGAGAGGCAGAAAAAACAGAGAGACAGAGAGAGAGGTAGCGAGAGATAAATTGAAGCTGAGATTCCTTCGTGTTGCACGATTGATGTCAAGCGCTGCGACTGCGGCAACTGGGACTTTAAAGATTATGCCGAAAGTTATGATGGTAGCAGCCGCAGCAGCAGCAGCAGCAGCAGCAGCAGCAGCGGCAGCGGCAGCGGCATCAACTACGCGGCTCCAGGTGTTCTGGCCTAGCATGCGAAATTATATGGCTCAGTGGCAGCAACGGCAGCAGCAGCAGCTTTAACTACGCAGTGGCTGCTTCTTCAACAACATCATGAGCATCAGCATGATCACCATGATCGTCATCAGCTGCTGCTGCTGCGGCTGCTGCTGCTGGCGTCGCTGGGCAGTGCGGCAAAAGATGAAAGGTGGCGGCAACACTTTGATGCGGCCAAGATCAAAGCTGCCGATTGTTTACATAATAGTGGCCTTTGAAACGGAACAATAGAATGCCAGGATCAAAGACACCGACCGGTTAGTGCGCTTAAGCGAAATGAATGTCCATGTCCCGCATCAGCGAGGGGCCAACGCAACGCAACGTAACGCAACGCAACGGCAACGATCATCTGTTTCTCCTGCTGCCACCGCTGCTGCTGCGGCCGTCGGGCAAAAGTAGCACTCGTCTTCATCATGATCATCCTCTCGAGCCGAAGACATCATTATGCTCGGCTTTCAAATTGTGTGCAAGTCGTGTGCGAGTCTTGTAATTGTTGCAAAAGAGTTACAGCCCATGCCCATGGTCAGGCCCCTACCGTCCAGCCTCGATCTCGATCTCCGTCTCTTGCTCTTGCTCTGCCCAGTGCCGTGCTCCCTGCTGATTGCGCGTTAAATGTTTATGGGCATTCATCGCGTGCTGTTCGGCGGCGTTTTAATTGCCCCCAATGCTGCAGCAGCAACAGCAGCAACAGCAGCGACAGCAGCAGCCACAGCAAGTGCCACACGGTGCGTATGAGCAATGCGAGCATCCAATAATCTCCAGAGATGTCGCCGCATAATAATTGCCTACGCGGTCTCGTACTTAATGCAAAATTATTGCAGCGCCTTTCCAATTCTCACTTTCAAGTCGCCGACAAGTTTTTGTTTTATGTATTTGTATTTTCGTTGCTCCATAGGCCTAGAAATTTCACTATTTAACAAACGATCGACGGGGGAAAATAAAATTAATTTAGTCCGTGATAGTAAAGAAGAAGCTGACGCGAAATAAAAACATTTGCAAAATACAATTTTATGGCTACCAAATGCGCTCATGGAGGCCGTTAAAAACAAGTATGCGGCGTTGAAAGATCGTAAAAGATTGAAATATTTCGATTTCGGCAACGGCATATCAAAGCCAAGATATTTTTGTATTTAATGATCGGTCATTAATTGAATTTCGTATAGAAATGGAAATGGAAATGCGTGGCAAAGGGCCATATGGATGGAGTCCCTGTTGACCAAGAGAAGAGACACACATATAAACATATATACATAATATGTATATATGCGACATGATTTCTCTCGCATTTCGGCAGCAATTTCGTATGGGAATTAAACGTATTTTTTGTAGATTTACAATTAGATAAAGTCGCGACTGACTACTTTATTGAGATTTTATGTGTTTAAGCCGCCGTCCCACATATTCCAAAATATATATCCCAGGGCCACGGCGGCTTGGGCTCTTTCCAAGAAATGCCGCGCGATCATAAAACACAAAAATGCGCCGCATTAAAAACATAAAAATACATATATACATATATGCCTATATATGTATATATATGATGATGGGCGAATTATTGAAGCTGTCGTCGCGGGTGCTTCTGAGCGCAGCATAAAACGCAACTGCATTCAAAATTTGCAATTACACTAAATTAGCATTAAATATGCCATTAAAAAGTGCGACAAAAAAACGAGCAGCAATAAAACAAAAGACTTAGGCAACGAACTCGCCCAGCACAAAAGATGGCAAATTAAACAACAACATTAAACCAAACGCAAAACGAAAACCGAAAACCGAAATCCGAAATCCGAAAAAAATGAAACCGAAACGAAAACCAGAAGCCATTTCGGCTTTCGATTAAGCAGATCAAAGGCGCTGATAAAAGCGTAAGACGATTATTAAAAAACTTAAAAAAAAGGAACCAACATCGACACCGACGCCGACGCAGACGCCGACGCAACGCGGACTGAGAGCGAGTCAGAGAGTGAGCCACCGAGTGAGAGAGAATGAGAGCGCATAATTCTTTCAAATTGCATTGCCTTGCAGTTTATTATTAGTTTTGTTATTATTTTGCGTATTCTAAACAAAAACGAAGACCACGCCGAGCACGCCAAGTGGTTGGAGTGCGAGAGCGAGCGAGCGAACTGAACAGATAGAGCGCAAGAGAGCGGCGTACGTACGGCGCACGTGAGCCGCAGCTAGCAGTGACGCTGACGGCGACGTCGATGTCGGCTTCAGCGTCAGCGTCGGCGGCAATGCTGCCAAAGAGCGACACAAGGCAAGGTAAAAATTTCATTCCGTTTCGAGCATTCGACGTGTGCGGACGTACCAGCAAGTGTCTTCCCAGTCTCAGTCTCAGTCTCAGTCTCAACTCTCTCACGCAGTCGTGCAACGGGCGTTCAAAGTGTTTGCAGATCAATATTTATGAAATAATCAAAATAATCACAAATCATATATCAAGCCGATAGAATGAAAGTGTTTGCCAAGTGTGCATGGCAAAACATGGTTAAATATTTGCAGAATGTGCAGCAATAAACATGCAGTGCTTCAAAATTGTGCATTGATAGCCAACAGTGCTTAACAACTCGATAACTGAAGAGAGCAGAGCAGCCCAGTGTTCGCTGCGATTCAATAAAGGCTATAATCATAATCATTTATCATTATCAATATATATACACACATATATATATACATATGTGAGCCATGGCAGCTGTTCAGATACAAAATATGCCAGCCGCCACAAATAAATGGATTAAATACAACAACAATCACACACACAAGCAGGTGAGTTTAACCACTGAATTTATTGGCTAAGCCATACAGTAGCCGCAGCTACAATAACAGCAACAAAAACAGCAGCAGCAACTTATTAAAGAGGGCCGCAAATATCAAAAGTTGCCGCTGAAGTTGAAGAAGAAAAAAGCCAAAAACAACACGAAAAAACAGTAGCACGTCAATTAAAATTAATAGCTTCCGACTTAAGCCGCCCAATCGAGTTGACCGAAAAACTACAGCAGCAGCAGCAGCAACAACAATAACAACAGCAACATCTACAGCTTTATTTACGACATTAGCATATCGCAGAAATCGAAATCAATTTGAAAATCCTTTGCAAGGGCATAAAAATCAGCTTAAATTTGCCTGCGTGCGCAAAGGGGCCAACAACAACAAAAAGTTACCAACAAAAAAAAACATACCTACATACATATATAAAAATAAATAAAACTCAAACAAAACAAAAGCTAAAAGGCCGACAGAACGCAGCGAAAAGACTTTTTTCTTTAAGTATAGCTAACCAAAAACCCTCATCAGCAACAACAACAACAACAACAACAAAGTGCAGGCCGCTTTCGTGCGCTCCACTTCGCTTGAAGCCACAACCACATCCACATCCATAGCTCCAGAGCTCCACAGCTTGAAGAGTCCCAGTTCGTATAGCCTCCATGCCATATAGCGTATAGAGTAGTTGGCTACTGTTTTCAAAGTTAAGATCAATGAGTGCGACGACTGCCTTTGGGTACGCTCGTACGTTCGTGCGCTTGGGCCGAACTGGTTGGCCGGCTGGCTGGCTGGCTGGCTGGCTGGCTGACTTGGCTGGTTGCCTGGCTGCGAGATCTGCTTTGCAGCATGCCGCAAAGCGGCATTGGCCATTGGGCCATCGGGGCGGCAAAGTACAAAGCTGAAAACGGCACGGGTTTAGCGCGCTCAGAGTAAAAAGCGATCAGCGTAGCCGCTCGGCAGACGTGCGCACATCCCACAGATACAAAGATACAGTCACACACACACACACATACAGTGAGAGCTGTGGCCGGTCTAATAACGATGCCTGGCACTTGGCTACATGTTTTAGGCCGCGGCTTCGGCCTTTTGTTGTTGTTGCTTCTGCTGCTGCTGCTGTCGCTGCTTGCGGCTTCATTTGAGGCTGCTTCCGAATTACCTGCGTGGCATTGCAGTTGCCGCCGCCTCAGCAGCCGTTGCGTTATTTCCATGCCATAAAAAGTATTAAATTGCTGCAAACAGGTGTATTTTATGAATGCCTCGCATCAGGCAGTTGTTGGCTCTGCTTTAGGAGCAGAGCCAGGCAGGCAAGGGCAGGCAGGCTAGCGGACCCGTCTCTTGGCTGTTGACCATTGCAGTTGCAATTATGTTGCCTAGCCGTGCACTCAAGTGGCAAGCTCTAAGTGCAACAAAAATATTAAGGTCAATTCCTGAGAAAATGTAAATTATGGTAAATGGAAAGTAGACTTAAAAAAACGATTGTATAAAAGGAATCTGACATAATTATCTAGGATTTCATATCATAAAAATATAAAATATAATAAATATAGAACTTAGGCATCTTCAATCTCAACAGATTAAATTCTCTATGATTAATGGCATCCTTTGGTACCTCTAGCCAATGCTCCAAGTGGATCTAAAGTTCTGCCCGCGCTGCTTCCGTTTAAATTTAACGGTTGCTTCGCTTTGGTTTTTGCATTTGCGCGCGTTTTTTCATATTTTGTCTTCACCGCCGCCGCACGAAAATCAAACAAGCTGGCAACAACAATGGGACTAACAATAAACAACAACAAAAACAATGGCAACGGAAGTTTATTTATGCCTGGCCCGCTATTTGCTTAAGCGTATGCGATAAGCCGCGTGCGACAAAGATAAACAGACAGACAGAGCGAAAGAGAGCGCGCGAGTTGTTGCTGCTGTAGCAGCAAGTGCTGCGACTAATAAGTTGATGCAAGGTGGGTTGGCCCCAACAGAACCAAAAGCAGGCAAAACATATTTATATATAAAGCAAAAACCACAACAAGCCACAGCACACGACGCCACTTGCCCCACACAGCCCCCTTCAGTTCATAGCTTTGGCCAGGCGCAGTCATTGCAGTCGCTCGGCTCCTTTGATTTGACAAGGTCGTTATTGATTATGTTGCATATTTGAGTACGAGTGTGTGTGCGAAGAAATATAAGTGTGTGTGTGTGTATTTGTGTGTTGAGAGGCTTGCAAGCGAACGGGAAAAGTCAACGTAGGTTAAAAATATATGCAAAACACTTGTAAATGATGTTTCAACTATTAATAACAATAACATATAGAACGATTAGAGCTATCGATAAATACATCAAACATTAAATCCCATAAAAATAAATTCCACTTGAATAAGGAAATTTACATGTATCGCTTTTTACTGCAATCATCAATATTTCTGTCGAAAAATTGGACTTCTGCAATTAAATTAAATATGAAATATAATTTTATTCCATTTATCTTAAGTGACTTCCAAAATATATTGATTTTTGCTACTGTCTTCAATCGGCCTGTCCAAAGATTATAAATAATTATGAGCCATAAATCGTGTTGCCAATTTGTAAAGAGATTTGCAAATTTTTTAATAGACTAATTCACTTAGGCAGCCATTTAATAGTAGTCTAACCTGTAAAAGCCTAATTGCATTACAATTAACACACACAGGCATACACACACACACACACCATTCACAATCGTATCAAATTAATTCAAGTCACCACAGGGCGTATGCTTAATTTATTAAAAAAGTAAAAAAGAAACACATATATAAATAGCAACAACTAAGCGCTTAGCGCCAGCGCCAATCACTAAAAAAAAAAAGAGAGGGAGAGGGAGAGGGCAGAGTGGAGAGAGGGAGAGCGACTTGACTATTTGCAGCAATTAATAAAAACTGACAATTTAATCGTCGCGACAAGTAGTTGGCTGCCAGCCAGCCCCCAGACAGAGCAGCTGCCTAAACTCTGCCCGGCACCGGGCAGCGGGGCGAACGGAGCTTGGGGTGGGTCGGGCGCCTTTGTCGGCATTGCTGGCCGCAAGAAAAGAAAGATCGACCAAGAGCGAGCGAGAACGAGAGAGAAGCAACGACAGAGAAAGACAGAGGGAGAGAGGGAGAGAGAGAGAGGAGTTACTACAAGCCAAAAGCAAAATATTAATAAGCAGTGCCCGCAATTAATAGCGCAACTTAAGACGCTATATAGGGTAATTAAGCGGCGCTTGTGAACATTTTTTCCTTTGGCGGAGCCGACGACGACGACGATGTTGTTGCTCTTGTTGCTGTTGTTGTTGCTGTTGCTGTTGCTGTTGCTGTCGGCGCTGCCGTTTTTTCTCTTAACAGGTAAACAACAAGTGCAACGTACGCTCGAATCTAAGTATCTCTATCTTCACTTGTGGCTGTCTATGTGTGTGTGTGTCTGCGTGTGTGTGTGTGTTTGTCAATGTGGGCACGCGTTTTGTTTACTCAAGCGTAAATCCGCGCACACACGTAATTTTTGTTATATTATTTTGTATTTTTGTGGGTCCTGGTTAACATTAGAAGATTGTAGGCGCAGCCCCAAAAATAAATAGTCAAGCATGTCAATAGACGAGGGTTGCTCAAACAGTTAGGAATAGCTCGATAGAAGAAGACATTTTATATTTATTTTATATATATTTATATTTATTTTTAGTAAAATTGGCTTTCTGATAAATATATATATGTATATATATAAGTTTCCTTTCTTCAGTCAGTCTAATTCGCCGCTTGATTACCTCTATTTACATTTGTTAACTCAACCGAATCTCACAACTCATTGAGCAGCTCTCGTAGCGTTAGAATTCTTGTCAATTTGTTAAGCGGCAAACATCAGAGAGTTTTATTTTATTTTTTTTTTTTTTTTTTTTTTTTTTTTTGGTTACTTGAGTTGTGTTGTGGCAGCACTATGGGGGGAAGGCCTCCACTAACAGACAGGCAGCAATCAAAACGGCAGCGATAGCAAAACTGAAAACTGATTGAAGAAAAGTCGCTCAATTTGTGTGTGCAACAAGAGCAGCAGCAGCATCAGTAGCAGCAGCATCATCAGTAGCAACAGCAGCAATGGCTTAAAGCTAGATGGCTGACAGCTTAAAGCTTTAGCCACCGGCTTAAAGCTTAATACGCTACCGTTACTTAAACTTGTTGAGCAACTGACCAAGTTGTATATGTGTGTGTGTGTGTGTGTGTGTGTGTGTGTTTGTGTCTGTGTGTGTGTGAGTGTCTGTTTGTGTATCCATAATTGTTCTGGCTGTTTTTGTAGGCCTCCTCTCAAATTGTCCGTGTCATTTGCATTTTGTCTGCAAATTGTCGTCGCTAGAGGCAGAGACAGCGGCACAACTTCAAAGCCAAAATAAACATTGATTGAAGATTTCTTTACGATTTCTGAATGGTTATTTATGCAGAGACAGCGGCGCAGACAGGCGGACACAATTGACAGACTGACACACTGAGACACTAAAATCGTTGCCTTTGACTTATTGTTGTTGTTGTTATTGTTGTGGTTACTGTGGTGCTGTTCTTCTGTTGTTGGCGGCACGCGTTTTGTTGTTGTTTAGTTGTTTTTGTATCATTTACAAATTGCTGGAAAATAGCGTAAAATCAAAACAACAACAACAACAACGAAAACCACAAATCGCCGCTGCTCATTTGATTGATGTGCACAACCGACCTTAAGTTCAAAGCCAAGAACAGCAACAACAACAAGACCAAAACTGAAACTGAAACAGAAACAGACGTCGACAACGCTGATTACCACGCGTCAGCGGCCATGACAATGTGAAATCCAGCTGTATGTGTGCGTGTGTGTGTGTGTGTGTGTGTGTGCGTGGACCCACGAGGCGTATGATTAATATACAATTGATGTGTGTAATAACAGAGCAGCTCTCTAGCCCATGTTTAACTAAATACTTGGCCCTCACAATGGCTCTCATTCTTTCTTTTTCTCTGCCTGTCTCTCTCACCATGTGCTAATGCGAACGGCAAACAACAACAAACAGTGCACAACGTAAAACAATAACAACAAAAACGTAACGAAATACGCGGCAAAAATTTCTTTGATCTTATCGCAAAGCTTCTTGCTCGCATTTTGATCAAAGCAAGTTTTTCCGCCAAAATACAAAGGCAACAACAACAACATCAACAGAAAACCACAAGAGCAACAGGCGGTCGCAGCATGGCAGAGCGAGAGAGCAATACGCGAGGGCACAGAACAACTGATATTACGACGACAACAACAAAAAGTTGTGAATGAGTTTTGAGTAAACGCACAAACGAAGAGAGAGAGAGAGAGAGCGAGAGCGGCGTAAAGAGAGAGCAACTGAACGCGTGCCGAGTGCAACTTTAAAGCTTGCGCGTCAAAGCTGCTGCAGCGCGAAAGCTTTAGCACTGTCTGCTTTTCGAGCTAAACTTATTTGAATTTTAACTCGCGAGAGTAATTTACAGCTATTCTAAATCAAGAAATTCTTTCTCTTGCAGTCGACGACGACGACGACGACGCAACTGTGCTGTCAGCTGTCGCTGTTGCTGCCGCTGATTGCACTCAGCGCATTGCCGCACGCCAGCAGCAACAGCATTAATAGCAGCGGCAGCAGCAGCAGCAGCAATACAAACAAAAACAACAACGACAACATTGAAACATTTGGCGTGCGCAAAGCTCCATTGGAACTGGAACTGGAGCAGGAGGAGGCCAATGGCAATTCGCTGAACATGATACAGCGCAACTACATGATCATGCACCCAGCGGGCGCCGCGTCGGCGCACAGCGATGCGGGCATCGATCACAGCCGGTCGCTGAAGCGTGCCTCGTTAACCAACTCGAGCATCACCTGCAACGATGGCACCCACGCGGGCTTCTATCTGCGCAAGCAGCCCAACTCCAAGAAATGGATCGTGTTCCTCGAGGGCGGCTGGCACTGCTTCGACAATCGTTCGTGCCGTGCGCGTTGGCTGCGTCTGCGCCATCTGATGACCTCCTCCCAGTGGCCAGAGACAAGAGATGGTGAGTGAAACCACAAGCAATGACTGTGCTCCATGCTAATGCTCTCCCTTCATTTATAGCTGGTGGCATTCTGTCTCCGCATGCCGAGGAGAACCCCTACTGGCACAATGCCAACCATGTGCTGGTGCCCTACTGCAGCAGCGACTCCTGGTCGGGCACGCGCATCGAGCCGGACACACGAGATCGCGATAACACCTGGCGCTTCATGGGCGCTCTGATACTGCGCCAGGTGATTGCCGACCTGATACCCTTGGGTCTGGGCCGTGTGCCCGGCGGCGAGCTGCTGCTGGTGGGCTCCTCTGCAGGTGGACTCGGCGTCATGCTCAACCTGGATCGCGTGCGCGACTTTCTGGTCAACGAGCGCAAGCTGCAGGTGACAGTGCGAGGCGTCAGCGATTCGGGTTGGTTTCTAGATCGTGAGCCATATACACCATCGGCTGTGGCCTCCAGCGAAGCAGTGCGTCTGGGCTGGAAGCTGTGGCAGGGCTTGTTGCCCGAGGACTGCACCAAGGCGCATCCCACAGAGCCTTGGCGCTGCTACTTCGGCTATCGCCTGTATCCCACACTGAAAAGTGAGTTACTCAAAGGAATCTCCCTTTCGACTCGAACCCTAACCTTTTCCATCTCGTTGCAGCTCCACTCTTTGTGTTCCAGTGGCTCTTCGATGAGGCGCAAATGCGCGCCGACAATGTGGGCGCGCCCGTCACGCCCCAGCAATGGAACTATATACACGAGATGGGCGGCGCACTGCGCTCCTCGCTGGACAATGTGAGCGCCGTGTTCGCGCCCAGCTGCATTGGCCATGCGGTGCTGCTGAAGCGCGACTGGGTCAACATCAAGATCGACGACATCTCGCTGCCCTCGGCGCTGCGCTGCTGGGAGCACTCGACGCGGCCGCGACGCAAGCGACACGACAAGCTGAAGCGCAGCACGGAGGCTACGACAACGGCGCTGCAGCAACAGCAGCATCAGCAGCGACATCCGAATGCGAATAACCAAAGACATCAACGCCATCGCCAGCGGGCACAGAAGCTGAACAATGTGGCACAGGTGCCGCCGGCTCCGCAGCGCAAAAGGAATCACCTGAGCAAAGAGCAGCGCGAGGAGCGCAAGCGTCGCCGTCAAGAGCGACAGCGACGTAAGCAGCGACGTCGCCAGGAGCAGCTGCAGCGCAAGCGCGAGAACGAGGCAGCGGCCAGCAACAGCAGCAATAAAAACAGCAACAAGCAGCGTCGCCGTCCACAGCTGACCGCTGAGCAGCAGCTGCAGCGCAAGCAGCAGCGCCAGCAGCGACGCAAGCAGCAACAGCAGCTGCAGCAGGAGCAGCCGAGCGAGCCGCAGAAGCGACGAGCTTCCAACAGCGCCACCAAGCTGAAGCCGCGACAGCGTGTGCCTCGCGTGCCCGAGAAGTGTGGACTGCGGCTGCTGGAGCGTTGCAGCTGGCCGCAGTGCAACCACTCGTGCCCCACGCTCACGAATCCGCTGACCGGCGAGGAGATGCGCTTCCTCGAACTGCTCACCTCCTTCGGTCTGGACATCGAAGCCGTGGCCGCAGCACTCGGCGTCGATATGCACACGCTGAACAACATGGAACGAACGGAGCTGGTGAATCTGCTCACGCAGCAGGTGAGCTGAAGGAGCAGCGTCATTAGGTTTTACTACATAGATACCCTGTAAATAGTTGGCCTGTATATAGATATAGCCATAGACTGTATAGCCACATATATATATTTGTATATGTATATATGCATATATCGGAGCTATTCCAATTCCTAAACCAAGCAAAAGACATGCGCATAGTACCCAGTTATTAAGCAGAATTTATTTATATACATAAATATACATATAAACAAACACACACTCACACGCACGCACACATACGCATACAGATGTAATACTGTGCGTATACGTAATTCATATTTATTCATTCGAGAAACTAACACAAATGCAACCACAAGACTGTTTTTTATGTTTTCTATACATAAACATAATATAAATTTTTTTTTTTTTTTTGTAATTAACTAAAAATTAAAATCGTATTTATATATAATTATTTATAATATAGAAGACAGCAGCTGTATGTATGTATGTATGTATGAAGGCAGCAAGACTGTTTCAATGCCAAGTTTATAAACAACAACAAAATGGAAAAGAAAAGAAAAGAAAACCAATACTATAGCAGTTTACATAAAATATATATGAATATGAAAAATTCAAGCTTACAAATTACCTACCTCAGGAGAACAGAGAACCATGAGAAATTATTAGAACCAGCTGCCTTGAATAGCATTGCGATTTGTACCTGTGCAAATTAAATCAAATAATTAATTAACATTATTTATTTATGTACTTTAGCAACATTTATTTTTTATTATTGATATTTTTTTGTTTAGTTATGCGCATTCCGTTCAAAATAATTGTACTTAACTTAATCTTATAATTAACTGGCAACAATGAAGCAAACCGAACAACTCGAATATTATTATTTATATGTATAGTCTATAAACTAAATGTAATATAGAAATATAGATATAGCTAGATATATAGCTAAACCATATGTCATAGAAATCAATATTAATTAGCTTGTACAGAAACGGTTAAAGTTTAGACTAAGAATTGTTGTGCTTAAATTAAGCTAAGTTAGAACTTTAAAAATAGCAACTACAAAAAAATATGAGTCGAACAAACAGCTAAAATCATTGTTATAATTTGCATTTACATAGAAACAAAACAGTTAAAAAAAAAAAAAAAAAAAAAAAAAAAAAAACAAAACAAAAAAAATTAATATCGATAAAACAAAAATAAATGAGAAAATAATTTTTATAAAATTAAATCCATTTTTCTTTTACTTAAATGTTTAAAAAAATATATTTGTATATATATTTATTATACCAACTGATATTTCGTCTCAAGTTCACGACCCCCCAAGGTCATTGCCTTCTCAAGGTCACCACCCTCTCAAGGTCATTGTCCCTTCAAGGTCACCACCCCCTCATTATATTGCCCACACTGCAGCGCCGCCCAATCGCAGTCGCTGCTTACTGCGCAGTTAGCAGAGCACCTGCTTATACTTGCCTGTGGATGCATGTGTGTGTATGTATGTATGTATGTATGTGTGCATAAGAAGAGCAGAATGATTCGAGTATCAGCTTGGAGAGTTCTTACTTGTTCTTTTTTTTTATATTTCGTGATCTTCGAATTCTTAAATTTATGAAATGAAGTTCATATTAAATTAATTTTCAAACAGTTAAGAGAACGAATTTTCGCAACTCAAAGTTCCCCTCTCTTTCTCACTCTCTGCCTTTTAAGACGCCGCCTACGCAGCTTAGTATTCATTAGACTTAATTGAATGAAAGCTAAAAAAAAAATTCTAGATTTCGCTCAGTTTCATAGGCTTGCGGCATTGTGCGGAGGTGGCAGTGGTGCAAATTGAGCCACAAAAGCAACAAATTTGAGACTCGTCTCATTTTCAATTCATCGCCAGAACTCGAGCAATCAAGACGCAAGGAAAATTCAGTGTCGATTCTGTTGCAGTGGAAAATGTGGAAAATTGTGTTATTTGCGCTGCATTTGCAGCTGTTGGTGGCACCGCTCTCAGGTGAGTGGCCCATTTAGGCCAATGGCTAGTGGATAATGGCTAATGTCTGCTCCAGCTAGTTGTCCCATTTTCCTAACTATTTCGCTGTCGGGCAAATCGCTGACCGACGCCTGCTTGGAGATTAATTGGGGACCCGATTGCTATGCACCGCCCGAGTGGGTGGGCATCTATCGTCAGGATCCGTCCGTGTCGAACTTTCAGCCAGAGCTGCGCATCGACGGCATACGAAATCGGACGGGCAAACGACTGACGCCCATTAAGCTGGGCAAGCTGCAGTTTCCAGGCGGCTGGAATCGGCCCACGGCCCGACAAACCACGGCCACCAAGTACCCGAAGGGCAAGTGTTTGCCCTACTACGTGGCCAGCTACAATGGCAACGAGCTGCTGACTATCGATTGCCTGAAGATCCAGCCCAATTGGCTGGCCCACCTCAAGGACGCGGCGAACATGCCGCTAAAGCAGCTCTTTCTGCCAGGCACACACGCCTCCGGCGCCTACATCACCAACTACAGCAAGACCAAGTCGCTGCTGATCAAGGACTACCTGGTCGCTCAGCACTTCGATGTGTGGTCGCAGCTGGTCTTTGGCATTCGCTATCTGGATCTGAGCGTGGGGTGAGCTGCTCGAGAAATTCCAAACATTTTCCAAAGTCTAATGACCCCCTCCTGCAGCTATCGCTATAGCGCTGACAGCGGCAGCGAATCGGAGAACTTCTGGGTAGTCAACGAGAACATGTTCATCAATCCGGTGATCGATGTGCTACGCGACGTGCGTCGCTTTGTTGAGCTCTCGAATGAGATAGTCGTGCTGGACTTCAGTTCGTTTCCCATTGGCTTCTACAAGCACCCGGAGATCTACAGCAGCCTCTACCATCTCATCCGGCAGGAGCTGGGCCAGGTGATCTACGAGCGGAACGTGAGCAGCAATGAACATTGCGCGAATCGCAGCTTCAATGATCTGCGTGTGCTCGGCCGGCAGGTGTTGCTGCTGTTTCCCACAGAGGAGCTGCCACATCCAGAGAATGGTATATACCAAATATATATATACACTTTAGAGCATCCTTTAGCCACTGAGCACGTCTTGCTTACAGAATCCGTGCTGCTCTGCCCGCCCTGGCAGCGCTTCAGCACCAGCTACATGAACATGTCCCAAACCCTGGACTATATGCGTCTGCTGTTCAGCCGGAAGCCGGACTCCCCTGTGCAGGACGATGGCTGGATATTCCATGCAGTGATGAGCATTGAGCAGGCGCTCAACTCCCACAAATTGCAAACGGCCAAGGAGCGAGCCGCTGTCATCAATCCGAAGGTAAATCAATGGCTCAACGGACCTTGGGGTCTGAATGCGAATGTCGTTGCCATGGATTACTTCAGCAACACCAACCTCATCGACGTGGCCATACATGCCAATGTGCACAAGGCCTTCCTTGCGGCCAATGACAAATTTGTCAATCTGGAAATATTGAGTCGACGCTAGAAATTTGACTTCTTTATTTCTTTTTTATTCAATGAAACAGAGTATAGGCAATGTATCATCTGTTTCCAAGTAGTTGGCAATGCGTTGCATTTAGTCAGTGCACCCACCAAGCAGTTCACCAAGCAGTACACTACATATCTAAAATAAAGCAGTGCCCGTGTTAAATCAATTCGTAGAATAAAATGAAGTAAAAATACGTTGGTCAGAAAAATATATATATCGCATAATTATATACGATGCATAAGTATATATCAGTTAAGTATATATTTAGTTCCCTGCCTAGAAAGTGGCTTTGGTCATATAATTTTCTACTAGAAAATGTTCAGTTTTATATTTGCACCTCTATATTTTTTAGAGTATCTCCCAGTCAGATATAGCCCATTAAAGCACACTTAGTTAATTGCAATAGCAAACGCTGACATTTATCAATTAAATTGATATCTATGATATCATATTGAAAGCATGCAGACAAAGTTCGATGTGAGCTATCATTTGGGTTGTCTACTAATAATTTGAACTTATATATTTATTTTTATTATTTTAGCTTTATCAAAATTAATCAATACATTTTCTGTAGAATTTTAGTTTGGCTCATTCATATTTTTTTTTTTTAATTTTTTTTTCTTATCGCTTTATAGTCTTCGCCTCTATCGCAGATCTGTAAGAATAGAATATAACTGTGTTTGTTACGTTTGTCATAATATGATATGATCTTATAGCTGCGCCGATTCCTTGTACCTTTCATTGCAAGTGCGAGAGTAGCAGAAAAAAGATTAAGTTCATTTTAATTTGATTTTTCAGCTTGTGCTCTAGATTTTTCACTTGAAGCCTTGAAGGCGCTAAAAATATCTTTGAAAATGGGACAACAGCTCAAAAATTGCTAAAATGGCATCACTGCAACAGAATGTATATGCAATAAAACATATATACCTATGTATGTATATAAATGTGTGCAGCTGTTCATACAATATATATTACGTATACGTAATTCGTCACACGAATCATATTTGGATGTCATTTGCGTGACAATTTAAAAACTTGCTAAATATAGCTATTCTCAAATTTAAAATGCAGAAAGGCAGACGGAGAGAGAGATATATAGAGAGAGGGAGAGTGTGGGGGAGACGGCATTTAAAATTGATCACGAAATTCTAAATATATATATTATACATGTATATAGTGATCTTTTCTAAAGAAATAATTTCAACTATTTGCTGCATGCGATTCAAACTTGTTTGAGCTGAGCTCTATAGAATTATCGTTATATCTATAGATACATATATACATACATATATATTCCGATTGCAATCAAAAGTTCTAGTTCGACCTTCAGTTTAGCATAGCTTTACATTTAATGGCTAATTAAAAGCCACACGTAATCTAAGGTCAGCATTGAATATCTATAGTGAACGAACTGGAGCATTCATTGATTTGCATGGACTCAAGGTATGTCCGAATCATTTGATACTCTATATGTGTATTGACTTCAGGCAAACAACTATTCAAGGAACAGTCAGCGACAACGATGAGTCAAGGCGCTTGATTCACTCGGTCTTAGTTGCCACCCGCATGGAATGTGCCACAATCGGAGCTGATGCAACGCGCTGGATGATAAATGGCTGCTGATTGCTCAAATGCCCAGCCGTTGTTAGTGACGGCGTCTAGCAACCGGATCTAGCTAAAAATATGAATTGCTGCCAATCGAAACGTTACTTGAAAACTGGAAATGCCAAACGCTTTTAGCCAGGCCGAGCAGTTAGCCGCCTGATGAGACGGACCAACTGCAATGCTCGTTGCATTTGCTGTTGCAGTTGAATGAACTTTATTTTAGTCGTCGACGTCCACAGTGCAAACGTCGAGCTGATAACAGCACGCTTACACTGATATCACTGATAACAATTAACAGAGATCCAGGTTGCGAGCTAATTAAGAAATCGTAGCGCCTTTGTTGACTACACAAGTCCAATAAGACTGTAATGCGAAATTCTGATAGGAAAAAGTTGTTTGTTTTTAAAGCTATACTCATTGTACTTCTTGCTTAATGAGCAATTAAGATACCAGATTCATTGCACTCTAGATATACATGAGTAATTCACCAGTTGTATAAAACCTGCATATATATAATACGACTATATCACTAGTCTTGTTGACTACTATTTCCAATCTGAGTAAGCGATTATTCTATAATCTGCACCACTTCTAATCAGCTCCACTTCATTCGATCCAATCTTAAGCTATTATTACTCTGCGGTTAACAATTGTAGCATTTCTTGCCTTTGTTTCAAGCATAAATATTTTTAAACATTGTGTGGTTAAACAAGTTTATTGGCTCTTAAATAAGGAACGTCTAACTCACATGTATACGGATTGAGAATGATACATTATCGATCAGGATATCGACAAGAAAGAGTCGACTGAGATATTCCTGTGATACTCGCTACAACTAGATCTAGTGATAAATCAACGATGATTTCCCATTTTACTGATTTAGCAAATATCCACGTAAAATACTGCCCTCCTCTAGGCCACAGCCATATCATTCTGTTGGCCAGTCCCGTAAAGCGCACTTTCCTTAGCCTGCTCATACGCAATATACTGACCATATACATTTTATATATCATTCAACCTTGTGCAAAATCAATATAGAAATTCTATTGCGCGAGTAATACAACTTTGGTATCATTTTATGGCAGCCTCTTGCAAGGTGGGGCCTCTTCGAAATTTCCAGATAATCGCAATCTTTGATCATTATTGTTGGATCTATATAAATATATATAAAAAGTAAACAACGATATTTGTTTTGAATAATAGAGCTCTCTATATTATGTTATCCGTTTTTAATATACATAAATTACTGGTTTATTTGAAAAAAATAAGATTATTAGGGCAACCCATGCAAATTTATGTAGTACATTTATGTAATATATATATTAAACATCAAGTGTTTGCCGAAAGTAATTTATTATTACGAATATTATGTTATTTAAACTTTAGTACAACTATACATTCTAGACTAATGTGTCCACATCATTTGTCGTGTAACGGCCAGCTGAACTTAAGGATGAATCCACGAGTCCGGCTGGCCGTTACAGCCGAGGCGGCGGCGTTTTTGGCTGTTGTGATGGCGAGCGGGGGGTGGTGCTTTGTTTCAGATAACGGCCAGGACAATTGGCCGCGCTAGCCTCCTGCGGACGTCCAGTATAGGTTAGGATGGTGGACTCGATGCCATTTAAGAAAAATATACACGCATGACATCGGTGAAGGGTTTCCGGCAGAGCGGGCACTTGGTCACGGACGAGGCGCACTTGGCGCATGCCACGACATGCCCGCACGGCAAAAATGCGGTGTTGTACTCGGCCGCATAGCAGATCTTGCAGAGTTTCTCCTCGGGCACGATAACTGGAGCGCCAGGCGCTGACGTCGCCGTGCCCGTGCCCATAGAGTCGGCTGCAGAATGGGCCACAATTTTGTTGTAGATGCGTGTGGCAGCTGTTGGCGGCACATCGCCCTCGCTGGCCGCAACCTCTGGTTGTGCAGCGCCAGCAGCAACAGCTGCAGCAGCACCAGCAGTAGCCGGAGCAATATCTGATGAAGCGATAGTACTGCTGGCTGAGCTTTGCGTAGAGCCGACGTTTAGACTTTGCGCCTGTTCCTGCTCCTTCGCCTGATCCTGTTTGGCTGCCTCGGCTGCTGCTGCCACGACACTGTCGATGTAGAGCTGACCCTTGATCAGCTTGACGAAGCGGCACTGTCCCAGCCAGAGAGCATGCTGCTCCCAGGGCTCGTCGTTGTCGTCCCAGTCCTTGAGGCCGCCGCCGCAGCTGAAACAGCGTACGCGATCGCCGACCCCAGTATAAAAGAAACCCGCCTCGGCGAGCTGCTGTGGCTTCTGCTTCATGTTGCGCGGCCAATCCTCGAAGCTGCGCAGACGTGCCGACTCGATGGCATACTCTGGATACTCGGGAAAATAATTGCCGCCACTCGAGCTGTTCGTTGACGCTGGTGTTGTCGACGAGCCCAGACTGGCAGCTCTCGCTGGCTGAAAACTGTTCAAGCCCGTCGACTGTATAGAGGGTAAGCCCTCAGAGTAGGCATTCTCGCGTATATCCAACGAGGATGTATCATTTGATCCGCACACATCGAAGCTGGCTTGTGGCAGGTTGCGATCCAAGGCATCCGCGTTTATAGGCAAGTTGTTGGTGGTGCGACGGCGCAGAAGCGGGCAGTTGGGCGACCAACGTAGATGCTCATTCACGGGATGATCCTCGTGCACCCAACGACCGATTTCCACCTCACAGAAATAGCATTTGCACTTGTCATCCTCATTCGTATAGAACATGCCAGTCTGTGCCAGCACGTTCTTGTCCAGCCAGGGCAATGGCCAGGTCTCGAACGTCTTAAGGCGCTCGTCCTCCCTATGGTATTTATCATTCATTCTGTTGACGAACGACTTGAGCAGATGCGTTGCTGTGCTGTTCGTGCTGTTGTCCACCTGATCCAGGGCTGTTGATGTTGCAGGTGCATAAAGGGTGAACCGTGGCTGCGTTGCTATATTCGCCATCTTGATGATAAAGAACTGTCACTGTTTGTTGTTGATGTGTTGTTTCTTTCAATCTCAAATTGCAACTAGAAAAGAAAGCAAAATACGGTCACGTTAATATTGGTTTTACCAATAAAAGATAGCGCTATCGCTTAGATAACAAATTTCATAGAATTATCACGAAATACGTGGGATTTACGCGAAGGCAGTAGAGCGGCATGCGCCGCCTCACAGCTGAGCTCTGACTGAGCTACCCCATGAGTACTTTTTTAATTTAACCATAAAATTACTCGAGAAATTTAAACAAAGCAAATGTCAACACTTAAAAATTCATAATTTCTGACCGCAAATTAAAATAGCCTTTAATTGTTATTTGTCGCAAATGTCAGAAACGATTAATAACATTCAAAATCTTATCATTGACATTTTTGGTACTTATAAATCGATCCATTTTCGATTCGTAAGCAGACAAAATTTGTGATAAATAAACAATAAGCTCATGCTCTATAAATAAATAAATAATGTATATATTTATATATTTTCCTTTATTTACCTATGCTTGTGTATATATTTTGCAATCTTTGCACAACAATGAACTTTAAAGCCGCCCTTAAAAAAATATGGGAAAACTGTCTAGCAAGCGCTGTCTCGCTCGCGCCACCAACATCTAATGAACGGGGGTAGTTTTTTTTACAGACGTTCATGGGGTTGTATCCAACATGCTGCAAACGTAGCGTAGTGTACGCTATCTTACAACTGCGTGTGGATGCAATGCGCCGATGCGAGCCAGCACCACAATAAGCCACGCAGCAGCAGTCAACACACACAGCTGCTCGATTGAAAAACAGAAGATAAAAACATTTTGGCTATGCACCATGACGTGCGCACATTAGTGGACGACTGGCGCCTATTAGGTGGTCTGATAAGCTCCAGCCTGACTCAACGTGCTTTCCATATAATTATAATGAAATGCACGTAGAATGACGCAAATAATAGGAAAAACAGAATCGGAAGTATCATAGATAGAAAACAAAACATTTCATTCTGTTTTGTACATTCTAAAGATAAGGTAATTTTTTATAGGAATGTCTATTCCTTACAATCAGAGCTCAACTATTATCAGTGTTGTCAAGAGTCGTGTGCAGTTTTAGTGAGATAGATAAATACATGGACATATAGACTCGTATGCATTCTCTCTGGTGCATACATATATGAACGATAGTTTAACTATGCCGTTGGCGTTGAACTGTTTTGGTGGTCTTTCCAAAGAGATTGTAAGCCGTTTTCGACATTTACTTCACGACAAGCGGCGGGGTGGGCACACGGGATGGGCGGCAGGCGGCAGGCCCAGCAGCAAGCACGAACGCCGTGTCGGGACATTGTACAAAGTCCAAATTTAAAGCCAAGCCAGGGCAGAGCAAGCCAAGCCACAAACCAGCCAAACACGCCAAACAATTGCAGCACGACGGGGCAACGACTGCTGCTGCGGCAGAGAGACAGAAAAACAGAAAGAGAGGGCGATCGAACGGGAGACAGAGAGGACAAGGGGGCTCTGGGTGGTTGGTTGGAGCTGGGGCAGTGCCAAGCACTCGCCGTGCGGCTCACAGCTTGCCCGACTGTGAGAAAGTTTTAATGGAATGCAGTCAAACGACTTGGCGGCGGCAGCAGCCGCAAGCAGCGCCCCACAGCATAAAAAAGCAGTGCAGCATAAGTGCAACGATGACTGCGCTGCCTTGTCGGCCAGCGAGTGCGACTGCAACAGCAATAGGCACCCAAAACCATCAATGGAAAAACAACTATGCACGTATACAGTCGTACACACACTCGGGCGCACACACACACATACAGACTTAACACAGTTGCACTGGTTGGGTGCAAAGAAAGAGTGCAAAAAAAAAAAAAAAAAAAGAACGCGAACAGAAACGGGCGCACACACCAAATGCAAAACAAATAAAAGCATAAAATAAAACAAAAGCAATTGTAAATTACAAATGGCCGAGACGTTGGAGCTCTCTCTCTACCCTAGAGATTGCGCATTGTTTTTGAAGTGGAGCAACAACAGCAGCGGCAGCAATACAGAATCAGACAAAGATGATAGCTTCGAGATGCTGCTGGATGGTTGCTACAGTTCTTCTTCTTATTGTTGTTGTTGCTGCTGCCGCATTGCTTCAATTGCGCTGCTGCTGCTGTTGTTGTTGCCAAGTACAAAGTGCAGAAGCTTGCAATTACAGCTGCTCGCTGCTGTTGTTTTTGTAGTTGTTGCTGTTGCTGTTGCTTTTATTGCTGTGGAACGCATGCCCATTAACAATTGTAATGTAAACGCTTTGGCATTTTGTGTTTTTGTTTAAAATGCATTGCTTTTAGCAGGAAATGCAAGCAAAAGTTCAATATGCAGTCAGCAGTCAGCAGTCGATAAATAGTGTTGCCATATGTCAAAAATATTTGCATTTATCATGCATGAATGCAATCACTTACCAGGGCTGCAGTGGCATATGCTATATATTCGCGCTAAATATATCGATAAGGCAGCTGGCTGAGCACAATATTAGAGTATTTTGAATGATTTAATTTTCAAAAACAATTTATAAACTTAAATTTACAAATTAAACTTTAATTTGTAAACATATGCGCTTGAGTGCAGCAACAAATGTGAACTGACAGAGCAGAAGCGTCTGTGCCGAAAAGGGCCTCCCGGGCGCATGAATGACATGAGAACCTAGGAAAATACCAAAGTGGAAAGACACACACTCATACACACACACACACACACACACACAGAGCGACTGACTGTGTTGCAAAGCAAAGAAAAATCATAATCAGAGGCCAGACAGACAGCTAGAGCCCAGGAGGCAAGGCAACAAACAGAGTAACAGAGTGCGCCCCATGCAACACAGCCAAACCAAAACTGAAACCAAACCAAACGAACCCAACGAGGCGCGCATTGGAATGCAGTTGAACAACTTTTCTACAAACTCTGCTCTGCGCCACGCAAAATGCAAACAAAACAACACCAACTGAAGTTGGCTGGTTTTCTGATTGGAAACCAAGCATAGCTATAAAGCTGGGCTTGGGGATTGGAGTTTCAATGCTGTGTTGTAAGTGAAGGTAACCGCAGCCAGCAAAGGTCTCTACTCTGTGTGTGTGAATGTCTATGTGAGCGTATCTCTCTGAGTGTGTGTGTGTGTGTAACCTCAGACTGTGGGAAACTATTATAAACACTTTACCATTCTTTTTTCTCGGCTGTTGTTGTTGTCTTCTAAACTGAGATTGGAATGCGGTGATACCAGATACGAACGAGTGGAGCAACATGAAATGAAAGAGCGAGCGAGAGGGAAATAAGGAGAGGGAGCGACAATCAAGCATGAGTCGTCGTCACGCAGAACTTGAAGTACAGAGTGGAGAAGGACATGGGGAGAAGAAGCAAACGACGCCAACAAGAATACACAAACACACACGCACACATGCACAAAGAATATGATGTGCGTATATGTGCTGTGCTGTGTTGTGTGTCCTTCCAAGAAATGCAGCAGCCAGCAATAACAGCAACTAAAACAACAACAAGAACGAAACGACCGCCGACGACGACGTCGATAATAATAATAAAATACACAAGATGCTGGCTGGCTGGCTGGATGGTTGTCCATGTACTTAAAGAATGCCCAACAAAGGGCAATATCATCCGTAATCATAATAAATGCGACTGAGCCGCTGCAAGCTGCTGAGGAATGCATTAAAGCGCGGCCTACTGCGCTCTCCCTCTCTCTCTCTCTGTCTCTATGTCTCAATCGCTGTCTCGCTCTCTCGCATATTGAACATTGATCGATTGCCCAAAAACCTAACGGCGGCTCAGTTCAAAGACCCGTTGCCCATAGTCTTGTTCTTCATCTCAAACCCAAAGTCAAGTCGTGCTGTGTTCTCTCTATCTAACTGGCAGCATCTATGAGACTTGGAATGTGGGTACGCTCTCATGAAAAACACACACACACACTTATGGATATACACAGACGGACACACGCATTAAATGCGCCTTGTTAGTGTGTAGAATGGATGAAAGGTCGTTTTTCACGCGGCCAAGACTCAAAGGTCGTCTCGCATTCGAGATGATTCAGCCCAGAGAATTCCGGGAATTCCAAAGTAATTTTTCCTACATCTCTGCATTTCTACAGCGCTCTGCTGCCAGCATTTGTTCTTCAGCCTCTCCTACTCCTTCCCATTTATATCTCTTTCAAGGGCCGCCGCGCCCTGGTCCATTCATGCTGATTGCCGTCGCGTCTGCTGGCGATAGCAAAGGGACAAACACAAAAGACAATATGAAATCTTTAGAAAAAAAAAAGGAAAAGACTCGAAACTACTTTACAGAATTTCCTTGGTTTTCGAGCTATACGTGAGAATCGTTTATTAAGCGGAGTTATCTATCGTTTTATTGGTGAAAAGCGTGGAAAATCTAGTCAACAGTTCAGTTCAATTCAGCATTGTGAGCGTAGGCGTAAGGTATGGGTATACCATCGACCACCAGCGTTGGCCCCGGGGCTCTACTCCGCGTAGGCGTCGGCTTGGTGCGGGTGTTTTTATTGTTATTGCAATAACAATAACAATCAAGCGTAGCCCCAGCTTGAGCTGAAAAAGCTTGAGTTGATACTTTCTCTTTGTTGCTGTATTTATTTTCTTCTGCCCTCTCTTTCTCCTTCTTTCTCTCTTTTTCTTCTGTGAATCGAGCGCAAAAGTTCAAAGCAGTGGAGCATAAAAACTTCACAAGCCACTGTGAAAATTGGCAACAATGCAATGCGATGGCTGCTTGGCTTGGTCTCTTTGGCCATGGTTTATGTGTTTGCTGCAGAGTGAAACGCGGCGCACGCATGAGCGAACCACTTCCGCTGCAAACGGAAATGAGGAACAAAGCAAAGAAAAAGAAAAACTCTAAATACTTCTTTGCAGGGCTTGGGGGATTAAATGAGTGTGTAAAGGAAGTATGTGCATGTGTGTGTGTGTGAGTGTGTGTACACACTCATCGGATGTAGTAAAAAGTGGAGCCAGAAATGACGCGTCATCACCAACAAACTATGTTTATTATGATGAATGATGTGAGAGAGTAAAAATACTACGTAAATAATAAATAGTGAGAGGACCAGAATGTAAACAGAATAATTAATCTAATTAGAACAAGTTCGATAGCTGATCGTGTGTCATAGCGGTTGACCTTCTAGCCTGAAAATATTAATTGGGCAACATTGTTTTGCATACTATAGTCATCGGTTAAATATATAGACAACAACAACGCCAAAAATGGCGTAGTCAAAAATTCCAACGAAAACAAATAAGTGTCTGGCATTGTGTATATGTCGGTACTCACACGATATCCCCTCCTCTCACACTCTCTTTTGGAAACAATCTTCTCTTTCACATAAATGCGAATGTTTTTTTAAGCGCCAGCAGTGCTGATATCATTCACAATGAGAAAGAGTTGCCATCATTTTCAAAATATTTGCTTTAAGAGTCACAAATGCTAACGTAAACAGTGTGTCATATTTTACTTAATATTAATGGAAAACACATTTCACAAGGTACAATTTTAAGTAATAAAAAATGTAATTTTGTAAACAAATTCGAATAAAATCAACAAAAGCAACATTTAGCAACTCTGTAGCCGCCATCTTTTTACGCAAACGACCTCTCGCCTCTCGAGTGGTGAACGAATGTACGAGAGCGAGAGAACAAAAACGGGAACATTGCACACCCGGCAAAATTGTCAAAATCGTTTTACTCTATATGAACATATTTCAAGCTATGTCGATTAAAGATTTTACGAGTTTACTAATTATATATTCTGGTTTATACACTAAAAGTGAATTTTTGAATTAGATGACTCAAATCCGATGATATAATTTATTTTTTGTTTATAAGGCAAACTGATTCTTTCTGTTTTGTCTTGTGCACGAACAAAATACTCACTAGCCCTCGTTTGATGGTGTGTGTGCGCGTGTGTGGTTTTGTATATTTGTAAGCTGTAGCTTTAATTAATGTACATTGTGCAGGCAAACATATATACATATATATATGTACATACATACATAGAGGAAAAAAACAGCTTTAGCTTTGTGATGTCACGTTTTCGTTTTTGGGGTTATATCTAAATTCAAGTTAATTTAAATGCCTTATAAAAATACAACTCCGACTCACCTTGACAATTTTTCTCTTTTTATTGAAAAACTCAAGTTCCTCTCACTTCTAGTTATTTTTAATATTATAGTCTTTGCTGAGATTCCAGATGATTTTGTACTTTCTGCTTGTCTTGCTTTACGATTATTGATTTGTTTCTTTCCGAGAGACGAATTGACGAAGACGTTAACGGAAAAACACACAAGTACAGAGACGCAGACGTTACTGTATGTATTTTTATTTTATTTTGCTTTCTTGTTGCTGTTAAAATACTACCAATATCACAATTTAGATTGGAGACCGCAATACCAAAATCAAAACACTTTTTTCTTCTTTACTTTTTATAGTGAATTTCTAAATGCATTAAGTGATCAAAATTGTTGCGTATCCATAGCTTCTTTACTATTCGAGCTTCGAAATTGAACTGAAAATGAACCGAAAACGTACGAACGGCTGTAGCCAAAGCGAACGACACGAAAAGACCAGACGCGTCAAGCAGCGAGGCAAGGCAACCGACAAGCATTGTCGATAGCAACCCCGACAACAGCAAATGCTGAGCGACTGAAAGAGAGAAAAACAGATGTACGTGTGCTCATACACACTCACACACACGTATATATGTATATGCATTCAGGCAGCATACAGATGTTGCTTGAAAATTTTTTCTTACATGTTTTTTGGCTGCACTTCTTGGAACTTTGCAATTTTGTTAATTTGTAAAGGAGCAAAAACATTTAAGTGATATTTCAGTAAAAACTATTGCTGCTTATTGTGCTGGCTTGCCATCAGAAAAGCATAAACAACACATGTATGTATGTTTGTATGTCTGCATACATATAGACATCTGTCTGTACATACATACATACATATAGAATATGAGGCTGCCAGCCCGCTACGCTTTTCTCTCATCTGGCTGGATGGCTGGCTGCATTGGCTTCACAATGACGCCCCCAATACACCCGTACAACTTCTACTACGGCAAGTATTAGTACGCAAGATGGCGTACCGTACAACCGCACAACAGGACTGCTGCAATACAGTTATCCTTTTCCAACCAGCGTTAGGTGGCTCGCCTGCAACTGCAACAGTCTAGGATCATTGATTTTTTAGCCATGGCCCAGGAGCATGCGCCGGGCAATTCCATCGGCCTCGTCCAGTCTTTGACTCTTGGCGCGTGTCAATGCACCGGCATGACACGTCGTTGCAGCCCATCATTGACGCGCACCTTCCAGACGCAGACGCTAACACGGACGGCGACGCCGGCAGAGCGACGTCGACAGCAGCTGCTTTTATGTTTATGATGTATTTACCGTGTGGTATGTACATATATATATTTATGTGTGAATGTGTATGTGACTGCCTGCACATGCATATGCTCCACTGCACTCGCTTACCTGTCCTGGGCCCGGCTTAAATATTGTATACATTTCTACATTTCTATTTTAGACATTGGCAGCTGCAAATAATATCAATAACGCGATAAAAGTTACAGCCACGAAATCAACCGAGCTGATAATGTTCCATGGTCATATTTTATTAATTTCTATATAAACAAGTCGAGCGTAGACGATAAGCGATAGGTATATATAAAGAGGTATATATAGCAGTATGCACTTATGTACATACATATGTATGTGTACTATGTGTATATAGAAAATATATATATACATACATACATATATGTTAGATGTATACATGCTGTTATGTAAGGATGTAGTACATTGATTTATCAAGTGCAATGATTGTAACCAGTTTATAGAGAATACCCACAGAATAAGGTATCATATATCATATAGATACTAAGCACATTAATTAACTATGATTATTATAATTGATAGACGATTAGCCAGAAAGTAAAACAGAGGAGGAATGCTTGTAAATAATTGAACCTTAGTTATATTTTATATACTATTTTAAATAATTCTCGGAAGCGCTAAATGCCAGAATGGATTGCAATAATTATGGTTAAATGTCTAATATACTATAAATATTCAATTACCCAAAGTAAAAGCGATGTATCTATCATTTAATTATTTAAAAATATATATATTTTTATACTAAAGAAATTTAAAGAATGACAATTCAATTAATCCATAATTGATCTATAGCGTATATTCTTTGAGTTATTATCTCATAAAAAAAAAATAATAAAAAATAGCCTTTGTTCTCATATTTCATTCCAGCTAGTGCGATAATAACTATTGCTAAGCGGGTTTTTTTTTATATACATACATATATGTATATGTAAAATTTAATGAAAGGAAATGCCAGCACGTATTTTCTTTCATTTCACACACACTCACAATAAGCAGCTGGCTAGAATTAAATTATATAAATAAATAATACAAAAAAAAGTTGCAATAAAGCAAAAATGCAGACTACAGTGCGAGTCATGTATTTAGCAACCAAAGCGTTGCAGTTTCAAAATTTGAACTTTGATTTTCTGTTATTTCTGTTTGCTTTTGTTTTTATAAATAAAACGTGGCTAAAATTAACATTCGAGACGTCGCGACGCATTTTCAAAAAAAAAAAAAAAGAAACATAATAATGTAAACGCTGTCTAGACGCTTGCCAAGTAGGATAATCTTTTCTATTTTTGTGAGCATACGAAAATCGTTCCATAATTCTGCAGATTCAAAGATCAGGCAAAACCCAATCAGAATCGAGCTTCGACTCTTGTGGTAAATGTTGCTATAAAAACGGCCTTGCAAGGCCTTTTAAAGTTGTTGCACTCACGTCTGATTGTTGTAGTAGTAGTTGTAGCTGTTGTTGTTGTTGTTGTTGTTCTTGTTGTTAGTCAGCAACAAATACAAACGCAACTCACCTGCGCAGCTATGTGTTTAGTAATACATTTATACATTTTGTTTCTGTTTTAATTGACAGTCAAATGCAGCAAAACCGGTTTCTTATTGGATTTTATTTTCGCATTTCGCATTTGCTACTTGCAAAAGGTGTCATAACAGCAACAACAACAACAACAACAACTAAGAGACTTGATTAGTTTGCCTGTATTACAACATCTGTTTCCCTCTCCCTTTGGCAGCTGGCACTGGTTGGCTCAATCAGAGCCCAGGACATTGAAGGACGTGTGCCGGCAGCTGAACGCCGAAAGGGATCAAAAAAGGTGCGCGCAGCTGTTGCCTGATCCTGTCGTATCCTTATTGTGTGCGAGTTCCAGGAACGGGGCACAAGACGTTTGCCAGCTAACAGCTGCCAGCTGGCTGAACAGGCTGCAGGATCCTTAATGCTTCAAAGACGCAACACGAACAATTGACGGCAGGCCAACAAGTAGGACAATAGACGTGCGGGAAATTGATGATATACATATACATATACATATGTATATACAGACATGTTGATGTGCAACAGCACACACACATATGTATAAGTTAAAGATAAAATCTTTGTGCAGCAAATCTTTATTCGAAAGTCTACTGCTTATTCTGCTGTCGTTTACTGCTTGCAAATGCACTTCTTGTCTACTGCTTGGCTACGATTGCAGCAATTCAGTTGCAATACCAAAGCCAACTGTGCAAACTGTGTCTACATTTACAGTTCGATTTCGTATTATTAATTAAGTGTCACACCAGCATGCTTGGCTAAATAAATATATATGTGTTCTTTCAAAAGCAGCTGACAGCCTTATCAATTTGTGAACATTAGATAAGAAAAAAATAGGTGAGAAAAACATAGAATATAAATATGAATGATGTCAGAAAATATTTAAAAATTTTATATATATGTATCTAGTTTTTATGATAAAAGGTTTGTAAACTTTTCTAGCAGTGTAGAAATTCCGCCCATAATAGTTTCGAAAGCCTTTAAAACCAGATAGCACGCTTGCAACTTAGGTAATGAGGTAACAGCTGATTAAAATAGCAAAAAAAATAGACAAAGCTGTTGTCATTAAGAACATGTGGAATAACAACAACAATTAGCAATATGACATTGGGCGGCAATTACAAATGGGAATATTCTACGAAACGCGAAACTACAATTCACATCAATGTGGGCAAATGGGCGAGTGGGCGGACGGGTTGTCTATTGAACCTAAGGGGCGGGAGGTGTGATGAGGCGGCATGAATGAAATGCAATGAGCTAAGCAATGCGCATAAAACTACGTGATGTAAGGCGAAAATAGATGCGGCGAAGCTAGACAGAGACAGTCAGGGAAAAGTGAGAAAGAGAGAGAAAGGGAGAGGGTTGCAAATGGAATTGCATGGAACTGGGAAATGGAATATGGAGGACTTCGCATCGTATGAATGAAGCGAAGTCAAAAGCGAATATCCTTTTGAAAGCCACTCTCTACACACACACAGACACACACACATACACGCACAGATATACAACTTATACTACGCATTTTGAACTCACCAAATTCATTTTGACATCATTATCTTATCGGAGAATGTTTGCAAAATTGATTGGAGTTTAAAACTTTCCGGTTTTACTTTTTTTCTTTAATTGGTTTTACTTGTTTGCTTTTTTTATACCCTGATTTTTTTTTTTATTATTATTATATTTCTGTTGGCACTAGATAAGTGTACAATGTGTTAATTATGCCCGGCAAAAAGTGCTCGACTGCGACTGTTGGGTCTGAGTGTCACGGTGCGACTAGCAGTGAAAATTTTACGGCTGGCGTAGCCTATTTTGTTTTTCTATTGCATAGTTTTATTTTGCTTTCTATGCACGCAGCGGGTTGGAACGAGAACGCAAACGCTTTTGTAATTGCGGAAGAGAACTGCGCAATAATTTTTGGGTGGTGGGTTTTTGGGGAGACTGCGCTCTCCAAGGGGGTAGCTAGAGCTAGAGGGAGAACGAGAATTCAAATAAGAGGGGTAGAAAAATATTCCTAGATTCGATAGGCACCGTTTTACAGCTCTTGAATGCGCGCCAAATCGATATTTATTTGAATCTCTCCAATGCAGCCCTGGAAGAGTGTTTCCCCAACAACATAGTTTTTGCCATATGTACACACTGCTGTGTATTAGTGGACCATAATGAGTAGATGTTGAGGCAACATGTGGCGACAGTCACATTTTTCGCTCACAAACAGCGCGCATTCACCATGAGCAGCAACATGTCACACTGACAGGGTCGCTCTCTTCTCTCTGTTTGGCGCTGTCTCTCTCTTTCATCAGTTTCATTTTAACCTTTGTCGTGGCCGCACGGAATGGCACGGATTGGTGAACGAAATTAAATTATCAAATTTATCCGAAATATGCACAATAAATTGAATTATTGTGCATTGCACTGTCTACGCGTCTGAGCACTAAAACAGTGCCCTATAATTTGCGCGTGCCGAATAGCAAAGTAAGTGCGTTTGCCTCTGTGCTCGTATCGGGCTCGATGCCGTTGTGCTGTGAAAAGTTTTTACTGCAATTTATACATTTTTCTCAACGTTTGCATATGTATGCGTGCGTGTGTGTGTTTGAGGATGGAGGCGCTGTTAAATACCTTTACATAATTACGCGCAGTATTTTTAAGTATTATAATTGGACTACAAAATCCCATTATATAAATTAAAGACGAATAGATTTAGTGAAAATATCGGTTTCCATCTTTAGTAGCGTACTTCGTTCTATTTACCCGCGTACCGACGTCAGCGTCGCGGCTGTTGAATTTATGTCAAATTGGTAACATACACACACACGCACACAGTGTTGCATATTGCGTGTGTATGTGAGCGCAAGAGAGAGTGTGTGTGTGTGTGTATGCGTGGAAGAGCAAGCGAGGCGGAGAGAGAGTGAACATACGTGCAATGATAAACAAAGTGTAAAGAGCAGCAGCAACAAATGTTCTTTATTTTCTATTATATGCTCCCATTAATATTTGAAACTATACCATTGTGCGTATTCTGTGCTAAAATATAAGCGAAGTGCGACAACCCTGCACTACAACTGCAACATCAAAATGCCAGCAGCGCCCTAACGTCAACGTTGTCAGCGGCAGAGCAGCAGAGCGGCTGAGCGTCGGCAGTGTTGTGTTTAATGTCAAATTTATTTACGCGCAACTTTTGGTTCAATTTTTTTTCTTTGCAGCCAGGAGCAGCAGCGCAGCATCGCGCAAATGGATACAATGTTTGTTTTTAATGTTAAGCGAAAACTAAGAATCAAAAAAGAAGTGTGATAAATGCTAACACGAAAATTGTTTTGCAAGCGTGTGTAGGAAAACCGTTGGTGAGAACGCGCCAGCCTGCATGCGCGCCTCAGTGTGTGTGTGCTTGTGTGCTTGTGCTGTGTGACTCTCCTCTGCTCCCGGGAGCGAGTGAGTGAGTGTGCGTTAGTGTATGCGTCTCGAAGTGTGTTTGTGTGTGTGTGTGTGTGCAGTGAAGTGCAAAAGAAACACGATAAAAAAAAACACGCCAAGCAGTTGCGCCCGTTTTAGCTGATAAAGCGTATAGAAAAAAGTACAACAACAACACACACAAAGCAGTAGGCACGAAACGAGTGAAAATAGAAAATTAATAATTAGCTAGAAGAAGCAGCAGCACCAGCACCGACATTCACACACAGACAATTTGTAAGTGATCAGTGCTAAAAAAAAAAAAAAGCAAAAATACAAAAATACAAAATAATATCGAAATTAATGGGAAATTTTTTTTCTATAAATAGTGCAAATCAAAATTCTCGGTGCAGCGAACAACTGCGATTGCAAATGCAATTGCAATAACAATAGCAATTACAAAAGCAACAACAAAAACAAGATACACAGCAATTAAATTTTAAGTGCAACTGTGTGTGGCGCCTCAAGCGCCGTTATTTAATACCAAGCACCTCAACAAAAAGCCGTCAAAATGTCATCGCTAGAGGTGCGCAACAATTCGGCCATGATGAAGCGGGCCGAGCAACTGAAGCGCTGGGAGGAGTCCGACACCAATCGAGCCGCTCCCTCTCCACGCCACGAGCACAGCCGCAGGATCAAATTCAGCTCGGGCTGTGTTTTCTTGGCCGCCTGTCTATCGGGCGACAAGGAGGAGGTGGTGCAGCTGCTCGAGCAGGGCGCCGACATAAACACGGCCAATGTTGACGGGCTCACGGCTTTGCATCAGGTGCGTATTACATACATATAAACCCATACACTACCTGTCTCACTCTGGCATATGTATCAATGATAAACTGTGAAATATATAAATGGAGCACATTACGTCAGTGATTGCGAACACGCGACCCCAGCAGGAATTGTAGCAGTAGCAAAAGTGAGCGGGTGCGGGAAGTGGTTGTGGCAGGGTGTTGCTTTGCTTTCGAAACTGTTGCGCCGCCCAACTGAGCAGCGTTGCTAGCGTCGCAGCTGCCGTGAACGTCGGCGCATGCTACACATCTTTGATACCCTTAGCTGGCATAGAAGGGGTATCATGATTTTGATATAATGATTTTGAGCATGTTATATATCAATGTGGTGAGCCTGAGTAATCAAAAGTAAATTCAAATTGGTATAGAGTAAACGGTCGTCCTCTTCGGTCGTACTAGGAATAGGACCTCCATATGGAAATAGCAGGTGTGGAAAAGAGAATCATAAGACTTCAGTGCTCTGTTTGCGATATAGCTGCTCTAATGCATTTAACACAAATAAGGTATATCGGGAACTGGCAGTTTAGAACCATATGATTCATTTGCAGGGTATTTGCTATCCGTTCAATTAATAGGTTTTTGTTACGGCGTATTTCGTGCTCTCGCTGCGGTTTCCAAAGCACCGCAAAAACCACTAAAACATTAACAAATACATTTCTAATGCAAGCCGACGATTTACAAGTCGAATGCCCGAAACAACAACAACAACAGCAGCAGAAACAGCAACAACAATAGCAACAAACAGCAAACGGCGCAAGCATTAAATAAGAAAAATACAAAAAAAAATCTATTTTTAAATGCCAAGAAAAATATACAATATACACACATATATGTATATACAAATTACATATGTGTATGTCTATATACATATATACTTATATATATATAGATATAGACAAATGCGCGTTGTATATAGAAAAGATTTTCGCAAAATCATTTTCATTTTTCTTTCAATTTCGTTCGTTTGTTCTTTGGGCCACATCGCATGAAAAATTTATACTTAAAAACAAGAGAAAGAGAATGAAAAAAATGAAAAGCCATAGCGGAAAATAAAATTGAAATCTTTGTTGAAATTTATTTCATGTGGCGCCTTTCAATGTAAATACAAAGAGAAGAGACAGTTCAATGTATTTTGGCGAGAGAATGCTTATAATATAAATAAGATACATTTCAATATTTACTCAGATGTATTGGAAAATTTTGATATTGAAGCAACTCTTTTCAACAGAATCTAAAAAAAGATGAGAAAAACCAAAAAATCCTATATTTACATGGTAAAAACAATTTAAAATTGTATATACAAATATAATATACATAGAAAAATATAGAACATATGCAATTATAGCAAACAATAGTCATGGCTCGTCTGTGCGTGTGTGCGTGTGCGCATACTTTTAGCAGTAACTGTCTTTTTTGTTTGCAGTTAATTGATTTTAATTATGCTGCGCCCGCTAAGAGTCAAGAGATATTTTCACCGTTTAGTTGCGGCGCACTTGTTAACCAGATGTTAATATCTACATAATCAGATATCGGGTGGGCTGTCGGGGGCGCTGAGGGCGTAACTGTAATTGCAGCAATAATAACAATGGGAACTGTGCAAAGTCTTGAATTACCTGCGGCTGTTGTTGTTGCGGCTGCTGCTACTTCTGTAGTAATAGTTTTTGTTGTTGTTGTTGTTTAACCGCAAAAATGAATTTCTATTGCATTTATTATGTGCTGTAAGTATTATAATTAATTAATTCATCGCTGATTTCGTTGATCAAAGTCAAAGCGAAGGCTCTGCTTGTATGCTTTCTTTTACAAGTGAAAATTGTTTGTTTCGGCTTTCATTCATAAACAAGCAACAAGCAAACAAGCAACAGCAGCTAAAACAACAACAACAATTACAAACAGAGCCAAAACACCTGGCTGCCATTTTCAATGGCAAAATCCAAAACGGCTGCCACCTTCGGCTATGAATGATGATGATGATGACAAATTAAACGACGGACAGCCAATGCGATAGACAAACGGACGGACAGACAGAAAGACAAACTCTTGGGGGCGGTCCGTTGACATTCAACTCGATGAAGAGAAAAACTGAGGTTGCAGCAAAATACAGTAATAAATTAAAATTTTGTTTATTTACACATGTTGTAGATTTTCCTTACATATTTTCCACAACAGTTTCAGTGTTCTTAGTTCAAGGATAATGCGATTTTTTAAAATATCAATTTGTCGCATGGCCGCACGTATTTATTATTGCTATAATTAAAGTGTTTTTCTCTTATTTAATTGGGCCATAAAATATATAAGCTCTGCGGACAAGGCAAAGTTCACGGCCTAAGAGTGATACAGTTAAGAAAGAGAAAGATAGAGAGAGCTAGAGAGGGATTTGATGTTTTTGGTCTAAATGCTGCCTTTTGTTGTTTGAATCATATCCTCTGAATACAATCTCTTTATTTTGTTTTGGCTTCCGCTGAAACGTTTTTAAAGACTTGTAGAAGGAGTATTATGAGATTATCAAAAAGAGAATTTATGCATTAAAAGTTGAGTCTATTAGCACGGTCAGTCAAGTTATTTGGAATCATATTTAAATTTAAGTTATTTCTCAGGCTTTCAGCTTTGTTATAAATTTATATAGAAGCAATAGATATTAGTAGGGTATTGAGTGTTCGTTGTGCTTGAGATATTTATTCTTTTTAGTCTTTTTCGCTACTTTTTCGTTTGCTGGATTATAAAAAACACGCGTTTGCGCAACACTTGAACCGTTATGGTCACATTATAATTAAGATGTCTTTTAGATTTCGGTGACATGTGTCTACAACAACAAGAACGACAACAACAACAATCGCGAGAGCAACAGAAAAGCCTTGAAATAATGTATCATAATTTAATCGTAAATGCTGGCCAATTAGTTTGATCCATTCGCAATTGACTGACTGCGGAGTCTGGCTAAATAAATTGTCGCATAAATTAGCTAATTATATTGTCAAGCTTGCAAATTGAGCGATATCTCGAAGCGAATATATAAAGCATTATAATAATAATGGCAACAAATCATGAACGTGATCGTTAGATGACCCCAAATTGATATTCAATGTGATCGCCGGCTCTCTCTCGCTCTCTCTCTCTCTCTGTCTGTCTGTCTCTTGAATTCTCCGTCTCTTTCATGCCGAAATCCTGTCTCGGAAATTGTTGTTCGGTTTGTGCGTGAGTTTTCCAAAAGAAAAATCAAAATCAAAAGCAAAAGCAATAATAATAGAATATTGTTTTCTTGTTGTTGTTGTTGATATTGTTAACGCGCTTTATTGACGTGTTTTGTAACCTTGGCCCGGTTCTAACTCTTCGATCTCTCTCTGTCTCTCTGACAACAACATGGCAGACGGACATACGGACAGACGGACATCTCAACGCACAGACAGATACGCGCAATATACAGCAAAACAGATACAAATCAAAAACATCCTCAAGAATTCACAGCGCGTGTTGCATATAGATAAATGTATATATACATATGTGTATATTGTATCTGTATACATATATACATATATAAATGGTTTGCTGGCTCTGGCTACATTTGATTTGATTTATTTCTCGTTTGGTGTTTTACACCCAAAATAACAAACGATGCTGAAAATCTTGCGAATTGAGCAAAACTGAAAAATCATTCTATGCGCTGCGATCGCAAGTGTGTGTGTGTGTGTGTGTGTGAAGAGTGCATTGCATAATACCATTTCGAGCAAAATCTAAAATAACAACAACAGCAACAACTGCCAAATGTACATTTAGCCATTAAATTTTTGTAGATTTTACAACTGTCTTCCAACCAGCTCCCAGTTCTGCTTCCAATTGTATTATTTGAGCTCATTTTATTGCTCACATAGATACACACACACAAAAATAGAGGCATACAGCTAGGAAAATCTTTTGAAAAAAAAAAACAACTAATTTTGAAAATTTTCTATTGCTTTTAAGGCGAAGAAGAGAATTTTTTTATTTTTGCAATATCCATGACGAAATGTTCACAAATATAGCTCATCATATATCATTATATATCTACGATCTGTATATTAAGGGTGCTTAGACGAAAGTGGTTTTTAGAAGTGGACATGTGCTGCGGCAAAGATCTATAAACATTCGGATAAAATATATGTATATAATTTAGGAATATGAAACACACTTCTATTAATTATCCAAGTAAAATATTTGATTTTGTGCTGTTCGGCCTAATATCTTATGTTTATGTATATATACAAATATACATTTAATATTATACATTTCAGTCTAATATGCTTTTATATATATATATATATATATATATATATAATCATCTCCCTTAAACTGTGCTGATTAATGTGGCCCACTCGGACATTCCGAACGATCGTAATATCATAAACAAATTCTATGAGCTATTTTTCGCCCCAATATACACAATTTCTAATATTCAGAATTATAAGGAATTTCTTTATGCCGCCTATTGTGTATACATTCTTTGTTTCTTTATCATGTCCAAGCATTTATTATGGCATATGTATATATGTATTCCTATTGGATCTGCGAGCAGGTGGCTCTGCTCCAGTCTAAACTGTTGGTAAATCTATGTGAAATAACTCAACTGACCAACTGACCAAAAATCCGACGAGTCGAGTGGAACCAATAGACGTCGTCTTGTTTCTATTGCTTCTGATTTGTAGAATTATTTTTTGGCAGCTAGGCGAGGGCGAGGCATTCAAGCGGCACAAGAACTTTCGCTCAAAATAAATCGAAAAAAAAAACAAAAAATGAACTAAAATTATTTGAAATTATGAAGGCTTGCCATGAGCCATAATACATACCATTTAGCCATGTGCACCGCCATTGTGTATCCAAAATGCGAATCTTTTGTATATATTATATAGTCGAGTCGCATTGAATATTGGACAAATGCCTTGAAGCATCCGCTGCTAATTCAATTTGTTTTAGGCAAAACCAAAAATATCTCATGAAGCGTTTTGCTTGCTTCATCAGCGAATCTTTGATTATCGTAATGACTGTTCGCTAAAGCGATTCACTAGATTACGTTTAAGTAAATGGATCGATTTTTGTATTTTTTTTTTGTATTTTCAACTTTATCTAGAATCCTTCTATATTATATATATACTTCTGTCTATCTCAGCTTTTGTTCCTTTATTACTCTATCATTGTTTCTTGATTGCTCTAATAATGAATCTCTCCATACCTTTGTTCTTACTCTCCTTTCCTCTCCCTTGATTATTTCCCCTGTATATCCATCGTTCATTGTGCAAACTATGTTAATTAGTTTGGTTGAGGCTAGAGTATAAACTAGCTGCATTGTAATGAAAACTTCAACAGCACTTATGAAGAAGAAGAAGAAGGAAGGATGTTGGCTCTAGTTGATATGCAGCTTAGTGTAGCAAGAGGGCGCTGGGTTTATGAGTAGTTAAGCGGCTTGTTGCTGCCGCGCAAAGCCGTCTCAACAAGTTGCTGCTGATTGCAGTTGCATGCGGCGTATACGTAATGCGGCGGGGTGAATAACATTTCACAAAAAAAAAAAATTAAATAAAATAAAATGGCCAGTAGAGGGAGAGAGCGGAGAATGAGATAGACTGAGTGAGAGGTAAGAGACAAAATACTGCTCAATGGCGTGCCAAAAACAAAAGGCTAAACTTAGCATGCAATTCGCAGACCGATTTGCGCGCTGGCCAAGAAAATGAAATTCGCTTTCAATGCAATGAAAATAGCACAGAATTTGCTAGGGATGTTGCGGCTGCCGTTGGTGCTGCTGCTGCTATGGCTGACATTAACACCAGGCCAGAAATCAAGAGTCACAAATTGCCTAGCAAATAGCTCATGTCAAATTTTGCATGCCACAGTCGTCGTTGTTGTTGTTGTTATTGTTGCTGGGATGGTCACGCGTGGGCGGGCCGCCCATCGCTGTCGTCGTCGTCGTCGTCGTCGTCAGCTGTCGCTGTCGTCAGTTGGTCAGTTTATCAAAATTGTTCATAATTAATTAATTGGCTGCGTTCCAGATTTGCAAATTGCTCTCAGTCCCTCTCTCTCTCCCCCGCCATTTAGTTCTCTTTAGTTTGGTTTGGTTTGGTTTTGTGTTCCGCCTTTTATGCGTTTTACTGCGAAATGGAAATTGCTTTTGCATTTTGCCCCTTAAAAATAAAACCAAAAAATCTTCTAAATTAACATATGTGGCGGACTATAAAAGAAATGAATTATGCAAAAGAAACAAAAAAAATTTGATTTTGAATACCTCACACACGCTTATCAAATGGCAACAATTGTGCGAATGGGTATTCGAATACGTATTGGTATTGGAGCTTGAAGTTCTTGTTGTTCTCTTTTCTATTTTATTGTTAAGAATTCTTATCGGCATTTCACTGCCCACTAAGCGCCGCATTGTTGTCGTCGTCGTCGATGTTATTGTTGTTGTTGTTGTTGTTGTTGGGCGGGTTTGTCGCTAGATAGCGGCATATAGAAGCCGACGGAGTTGCTCACGATGATATCATCGCCATCATCGGCTGCCGTCGTTGTCGTCGTTGTCGTTGTCGTTGTCGTCTTCATTCTGCATACGCAGACTGGCAATGTCTTCGTTTCAACGGAAATCCGCATAAACAACGTTGCCCATGTGCCACAGTCGGTACCAGAGTTCCAGTCTATATAATTATCTATGTATATGTAACACTGGATTGTGCATATGTGTATGTGTGTGAGTGTGTTTACTTTAGCGTTTTTAGCAAGATAAACACAAATGAAGCAGAGCTATTAAAACATGGCACAATTACTTATACAAAAACATGCCCCAGCAGTATAAGAGTCGATAAACGACGGAAAGTCGGATCCCCAAAGATAAAAATAAATTCGCACAATATACATTGATACATTTCATTGTATTTAGTCGAAGCTTTAGCATAAGCAATTGCCAAACAGTAAACAAGGGGCATATGTAAATTGATCGACTGTGAAGAAATGCAAATTATATCAAAAAGCAGCTTCAAATAATTGTTAAATTATTCATTTTCTTTTGTCTGCGCCTCGGAATTTGTCGAATGTAATATGAGAGGTTCATTGGCCAAATCAATTGAAAGTATTTGGATTTTTTAACATCAGCGAAATCGTTAAACAATTTAATTTTGTATATGTGTTTTATATAGCATAGTTAGCGGATCATTAAAACTAAACTTATCTAAATAATGAGACTAGTTTCAGTTGAATCACGTTAATATAAATTGTGTATGCAATATCAAAGTCCATTTCATCTTTTATACTCTTATACCATTTATACAAGCTCTTATACTTTTTATACCCACTCCGATGCTGTTTATAAACATTCTTACGTATCTTAACAACTCTTATACTGTTTGTGCAATCTCTTATAATTTCTATACTCTTATAAAATTTTTTTGTAAGAGTCTTATAAACCAACTGTGAGACATCCATCATTATAAAATTGATAAAATTTGCTAATCAAATTATTTATTACAGGCCTGCATCGATGACAAACTCGACATGGTTGAGTTTTTAATAGAGCACGGAGCCGATATTAATCGGCAAGACAACGAGGGCTGGACGCCACTGCATGCTACCGCCTCCTGCGGGTGAGTAACCATCCCACAAAATACGGGACACCTTCACTAATGAGCCGCGTTTACAGCTTTGTTAGCATAGCCTGCTACCTGGTGGAGCACAACGCGGATGTGGCTGCCGTGAATAGTGATGGGGATCTGGCACTGGATTTGGCCATCGATGTGCAGCATATGCCCATGATTAACTATATGGAAAAGGTGGTGCAGGAGCTCAATATTGATGTGGATCAGGCACGCAGAGCCGAGGAGCAGGCCATGCTGAAGGATGCGAAGCGCGGTGATCTGTCCGAAGTGGATCGACCGCATCCGAAAACAGGTGCAACAGCGTTGCATGTGGCCGCGGCCAAGGGCTATGCGAAAGTGATGCGTCTGCTGCTCGCCGCTGGCTGCAACGTGGATAGGCAGGACAACGATGGCTGGACACCATTGCATGCTGCCGCACACTGGGGCCAGAAGGAGGCGGCTGAAATGCTGGTTGAGTCACTGGCCGATATGGATATCACGAATTATGCTGGCCAGACCTGCATCGATGTGGCCGATCGCAAAATGGTCAAATTCCTCGAAGAACTGCGCGCCAACAAGCGCAACAAACGGCGTCCATCTAGTCAAATCAGGTGAGTTTAGAATGATTCAATCAAATCAATTAAAACCAATTAGAAATCATTCGTTCTCTTACAGCAGAATCTCAGATGCGATTGAAAATCATGTGGACAAAACACGAACGAAACTCGTACGCGTTGAAGTGAGAACTGATACCGCTAAGGATGGTGCGTACAATTAAATGCAGCAAATCCTTTCAGAAATCCTCCCACTCAACCCAAGCGCAGCCGTTGATTTGCATATTTTATATAAAAAGTTTTCTTTAATTTCTATGCCAAATTTTGTGCGTGTCTTTGTTTGTTTTTCAATTGTGTCGCTCAATTAGGTTCTCATGCGCGTTAATATTTCGGTTCAAAGCATTTAATTACAAACACACTTGTCACTGCCTTTGTCCAACTCCACGCCCATGTCCACGTCTCATCTCATCTCATTTCATCTCATATTTAGCTGCAGCTGCCTGCTTTGTATGTTTTGCGTCTCATCTTTATGATCATCAATGTCATCAAACTCGTCATCTAGTCAACAGTTTGTGTAATGCTCTCTCTTATACTCTCTCTCTCTCTCTTTTTCCCTGACTCGCTGCTTGCTACCTCTCTCTCTTACTCTCTCTGTGTCTGTATCAACCGACCGCCCGCCCGCCCGCTCACATTCTGCTGTCTGTCTTTGCTCTATTTGTGTCTTGTCTTTGTCCACACCGCACACTGCAGCTGCGAGCGGCTCGCTTAATACCAGCGCCCACTTGGCGCCCCAAGATGTTGATGCTATAGTTGAGACTGCTGCCACGGATCATAATGATGATGTTGATGTTGATGATAATGAAGATGATACCGATTCAGAGCTCAGCGACTCCACAGAGAGCTCACACAGCACAAGTTTAACCGAGAGCGAAGGTAGTCGCTAAATTGTTTAGTGTCTCAGTTACTTACCCAACCCTCAATGTGCTTAAAGCCTGCATTAAGCAAAGACTAACCGTTTTCTATAGATATCCTTGAATATATTCATATATCTAATGATTGTGTATTTGCATTTACAGCTGAAAATGTTAAGCCCAATCAGCATATTCATGCCGCCGAGCATTCTGGCGAGGAGGAGGCGCCCTGGCGACGCAAAACGCTGCGTACGCCCAACGACAGTCCCACTAAGAATCGTACGTCATATACATCCCTAATTATTTCTAGCTAATAATAGTGTATTTATCTGGCGTTACAGAAGTTCCTGACAAAGAGCTAAGCGGCAAGAGCGCCAATGAGACCGCCAACGATGTCATCTTGCGACGCACCCAAAGCTTTGAGAATGATCAAAAGTGAGTTTAGCGCACACACGCACACCTGTGCACACCTTTTATAACTAGACATAAATGCGTGCCACACACACATACACTGTTACATATTCATACACACACATACACGCACACTGCAAATTAACCCGCATTTTATATATTTAATGTGTCACAATTTGCACAACACTTTCGATTAATTTTGCTGTTTGTGTTTCACTTTTTGCTGATTGCCAGCCGCTTATCAATAAACACCTCACGCAGCTTTCACACACACACAGACTTACACATAACACACAGACATGCTCACACACGGACACAAATACACCTACTTCTATTTGTATTGACCATTATCGAACTTTTTAAATTTAGCCATACTGTCAACTGTTCAACTGTTGCTCGAACAGCCAATGAATCAGTTATAAAATTTCGAGAATTAATTTATTGTATAAATGGTCAGAGTTTAGTGTTCAAATTCTCTAGAGAGCATTCGAGTCTCTGCTGCAGCGCTGCGGCGAATTGTGAAGCACAAACTAAACAACAGAAAAAAGCTTACGAACTTGAACAAATTTTTATACTTTTTGAAAACTTGATTTGTTTTGCTATTTATTTTTGTTTTATGTGTGTTCTTTTCCTTATGTGCAACAACTACAACTACTACTACAACAACAACAATTATTCACATCGCACCAATTCATCAAACGCTTATCAAAAAATCCAATTCTAACCCGCCCGCCCGCCTGCCAACCAACCCTGCCTGCCCGTCCGCCCGCCTGTCTGCCCATCTGCCCGTCTGTTCCACCTGATCCGCGCAGATTCTATCAAAAGTACAATGAGCTGCGGGCACGCATAAAGGCGAACTCATGTCCCATACTGCCAGCGACGACGGCGGCGAATGCTCTGCCCGGCAATAATGCTAATAACAACAATAACCAAAGTAGCAATAACAACAACAATAACAATAACAACAATAATAATAACAATAAGAGCGCGCTGCTGTTGGGAAAGACTGTGAGCACAACCAGCATCAGCAGCAGTGGCAGCAGCAGCAACAACACAACAACAACAACAACTACTACTACAACCACATTCTACACACACACCAACAACACAACCACAACAACAACAGCAACTGCAGCTGCTACAGCCTATCCAAGTCAAATTTATAGCGTACAAAGATCGGCATCCCTCAAAGATAACTCAGTATATTTCAGGTTTGTTTTGTGTTAATCGAAAAAGAAGAATTCGGTAACGCCTCTAATCACAACTCCTAACTAACTGTAATTAACTAGCAAGTAATTTATATAACAACTATAGAAATGTAAACTAAACTCTATATATATATATAATCATTGCTTTGCTTAGCTTCTATATGCATATATATGTAGTCTATATACCTATATATGTATATACATGTATCCTCGACAAACTCTCATTGCACCAACAACAAAGTCTACTTAACATTTATCTAGGCAATGCGCACTATGTCGTCTATCTCTCTTAGATGTGATCTAGAACACCAGTTAGCGATTCTCTTTAATGTTTGATCTCTCTTTTTCATCTCTTCCTTTCTCTCTCTCTCTCTCTCTCTCTATCTGTCATTCTCTCAATTTGTATTGCTGCTCTCACAGGAAACCAATTGCTCCAGCTACGATGCTTACGGCAGCAACAACAACGACTACAACCACAACAACGACGCTCAGCTCACCCGCATCAACTGTGCTCACCCCACCTATTCGCAGGTAAGTGTATAAATAGATTAAAGTTATGCATTGGCAGCTAGAGGCTTAAGTTGTTAGGGATCAAATACATTATATATTTTCAGTTATACTTAAATTTTTTTAACGGGAAAAAAGAAAGAAATATATCGGTTTTATGTTATGTTTAAATTTTCTTGTACAACTATTTTAAGTTTTATATTTTATCATCGGTTTATTATATATATACCTAAAAATTCATCAGCAATCCGGCCAGCAACAACAACAACAATAATAATAATAACATCAACAACAACAATAACAACAACAATGGTAACTCTACGGCCAGCGCCAGTGCGAGCGATGTGGAGACCCCGAAACCCAAGCAATCGGCTGGCAATATATTCAAGAACTTTTTCAAGTAATGTTCATGAAGCATAACTGTTAATTGGTTAACAACTGTTGTATTGCGCTAACCCGAAAAGCCGTTTAAATCTGTGCTAGCTCTGCTAACTCAATTCTGCCCCGCCCAAAACGTGTAGCATGTGCCGCGAGCTGAGAATCTCATTTTTCGTTGATGTGTCCTTGATTATTAGAAATTTAACTAATCAATGCGTATATCTTTTCTCTCCATGTAGATCCTTTGTGCCGCCTGTGCGTGACGAGGAAAGCGAAACTCAACGCAAGGCTCATGCGAAGCGAGTACGTGAGACGCGTCGGTCCACGCAAGGCGTTACGCTCGAGGAGATCAAGAGCGCCGAGGAGCTGGTGAAGAAGAAGAACCTGGGCATGAACAACAACAACAACAATAACAACAACAACAGCAGCAGCGTAAGTACTATGTGGGCCCAAGACAGATAAAAGAAACAACTTAGAAACAAATCTCACCCAACAAATCCACACACATCGAAATCAAGAGATCGTTAGCATATATCGTAGATCAGCGAGAGCCATACACACGTAATCATCCAGCATATATAAACTAGATGTAAATACAATATACTCTTATGTTCTATGTAGTTGAAAAGGAGTTTTCATTTACACACACACACACATACACAAGATGTCATACAACACCAACACCAACGACAACAACAACAACTGCTTATGGTTATGGTGTTCCCATTAATGTATTCGTTGTGTTTTGTCTTCCCCCTAAATAAAGAGAGTATGTGTGTGTGTGTGTGTGTGTGTGTGTGTGAGCGAGTGCGTGTGCAGCTGTGCACCTCACTTGCTCCCCCTCCCACTCTCTGTCAGCCTCCATATACCTATATCATATCATTGCAGTCGTTTAGTGTTCTCACTACCCACATTTCAAATATGGTGTTTGTCAATTTCATATATCCCACCCACTATCGATGTGCGAATGTGTGTGCGTGTGTGTGTGTTAGCATGTTTGTTCAGCCTAGTTTTAAAGAAATTAAGCTTTATGGTAGCACTTAGTGAAATTCAATTCTGTTTTCCCAAGCACCATGCAACCGAGCGACACTTGAGACACTCTTCAAGCATATGGTCCGCTTGCATAGTGTGCGGGGAAATGGCAGTCAATCCAAGACTGTGGTTTAGTTGCTCATGTTGTCAATCAGTGCGTTCTCTCATCAATCAATCAAATTGAATCAAAGTTGATCAGTCAGCCGATCAATCAATCAGCACTCATTTAGCCTGCGTTCAGCTGCAACAAATTTAACAATCAAAACCGAGCGCCAATCAAATTGTATTTTTTACTGCGTTTGCGTTTGAGATCGAGTTCGTTTTCTTTTTTGTATTGTTGCGCCGCTGATCAAATTGAAAGTAAATAAATGCCTCGCAAACGCCGCCTTCGCCCGCCACGCCCAGCGCTCGCTGCCCGCCCATAATGCCGCGTTCGTAACGGTTCATCAAAATGAAAATCAAACACAAAATCAAAATCGAAATCAAAATTTTCATTTATGTGCAGTTTTCTCGTTTGATATAAGAGTAGTCTGATTTCATCAAAACGAATTGTGTAATTAATTGTATGTATTTTAAGTTATTTTTATTTTTACTATACAGTTTTGTATATACCATATATATATTATATACAGAGCATACTTATGTATTTCTGCATGAGGCAATTTGCATGCGTTTACAGTTTTTTTTTTTTCCTAAAGTATATTAAAGTGCCAGGGCACTTTACGTATGTCGTATGTATGTCTTATATCGTTTATCGTAAACTGTTTATGATCGTTAGCGTGACCCTTAGCAGACCCTATTACCCTGGTTAGCCTCTAAAAACGTTTAGAATCTCATCCAGAAACGCCATTTGATTTTTGTTTTTGGAGACAACGCGCAGGTCAACTGTTTTTTATTTGTTCCACAACTAATATTATTAACAGAATGAAACAAGCTCCACCACTGCAACACCAGCAACTCCAAGCACAACAACTGCAACAACAACAACGGCAGCAACAGTCAACAATAGCAGTGAGAACGATTTTGACGACAGCAGCCAGCCAGAGGCGCAGCCCCCACCACCGCCCACAAGTCCGCCACCAGCCATAATACCCAGGACAGCAACCACAGCAGATGATTCGGAAATAATTGAAGCTGTGGTTGGCAGCGCCGACACCACCGCTAGCTTCACACTGGCACCGCCAGCACACACACATGCTGCTGGCGAGGATGATGACCAGCAGACGGCGGTCAGTGCCAGCTATACGATAGTCTCTAGGCGAGAGAAGCCCGTCGAGTCTGAGACCGATCAGGAGAAGAAGAAACAAGAGGCGGAAGAGTCGAGCAGCCACAAACAACTAAAGACTGACCCAGTAGTTGCCAAGCAAGCGCGCGTGACGGGCACAGAAGCCAGCGGCGAGTCGACGCCGATTCCTGCAAGACCCACAGAGCTGCCGCTCGCCGCCGCAGCGCCAACTGAGAGCAGAGCGGCGACAACGCCGACGCCCGTAACAACGCCCGGCAGTCTAGAGAGTCCGGTGCGGTTGCGCGATAAGCGCAATCTGAGCAGCAGCTCGGCTGGCGGATCTGCTCAGGATGCGGATGGCAAGTCGGATACGGCCTCGCCAGTGGCTGCACATGCAGATTTTAATGCGCGCGACTCGTTGCTTAGCCTGTACGCGCGTCGCACTATGGAGAGTGGTGCAGGTGGTGTTGGTGGTGCGGCGACTTCTGCTGCTGCTACTGTTGTTGCGCCATCAACGTCTTCTTCTTCAAGCACATCCATATCAGCAGCTGAGCGACGTCCGTCTTGGCGTCTCAAGTTCGATGCGGGCTCAAAGGTATGCACACAACCACAACAACAACCAAGAACAGCAACAACAACTGACCTTTAATCGAACTGACCTTGAAAAACTATCCTTTGGTACGCTCCACACAATTATTTCGACTGGCTTTATGAAAAAATCAAACAGTGTGCGATATATGTTAAGCTTTAAGTGTAGCATGATTTTCGTTAGTGTAGAATATTTAAAATTATTAAACCAGGGCTGCAAAACCAAACTCAATTGTGAAGAGCTCTAGCTGAAATCTGAGTACAAAACGGTTTATAGCCTTGAACAAATTCAAATAACTTCGGTGCACCGAAGTTGCGTTTGCCCTTAAACAAACAAAAAATCACATATACTGAATGCAATTATGGTATATTTAAAGAAACTGTACAAAAGATAAAATAAATTTCCACAGAATTGTTATTATATATGTATACACATAATATTGCTTCCATATCAATAGAACTGCATATAAAATACATTGTGATTTTTTTGTAGTCAAGGGTTTCGCAATAAATGAATTTGTGTAATTTTTTTTATTGTAGTAGCTCCTATACATTGTTATACATTTTTGTTTGTCTTTTAAGTTATATAATTGTCTTTTAATTTAAATTTTTATTTGATTATTCATGAATGCCTGTCTGTCAATTGCTCTGCATTTGCCTTTTAATTTTAATAACTATCCTATGTATAAATATGTATATGTATGTATTTATGTATTTGTTTTTAATTGTAGCACTTTATGAACAATATTCCATATACTATATTTACTCTCCAAAACATGATATCGCACATTCGGTTAATGAACATTATTTATATATATATATATATATATATATATATATATATATATATATATATATATATATATTTATATATATGCATACAAACATGCCTAAATGCGTCTGCATCATTGAATATTATTCATTAATTAACGCTTATTAACTTTTTTGCTATGTATGGCTTGCTTTTTTTTGTTTAATTAAGTATTTATATATATGTAGTGTGTTTTATTAATATTTATTGACGGGGAACTAAAATTGCTTATAGTATATAGAAATTATATGCATATTCTCGTGGGGGATAAAACTTTTTGAAAAAAAAGTTTCGATAAAAAATGAATTTAATATTTAAAAAGCAAAAACGTGATAATTGGGTCAATTGCATGGTATCTTAAATTTAAATTTAAAGTTAAAATTACTAAATGGAAACATGGAAAATGTTATGTAAATGAAGGATTGAAGCTTTGGTATTAATAGTAAGAGCTGTTTTGGAATATATCAATTTTAAGGTTTCTGGCGTCTTGACTACTAAATTTGTACTAAAAACAACATTATCGATAACAATCAGCAATGGATTAATGAACAACAGATAAAACAACATTACCAGCATAGCTTTAAAAAGAAAATAAAAAACCACAAGAAACAAAAAAATACATACACACAAACAACAAAACAAATTAATAAATATATATATTTGATATTTCTACCATATCAAAAAAACGTAATTAACAATCTTTTCCTTCTTCTATAAACTGCGCAGTTCAAGCTGGAGGATATCACCAGCGGTGGCACCTACCCGCCCAATCAGAGCACCATCATACCCAGCGCACCAGCGGTCATGGCAGCGGTCAATTTGGCCAGCACCGCGGGCAGCCAGCGTCGCATCAGCAGTGGGCCCAATGCGCGTAAGTTGACTGCAAATGTAACTGTGATGAGCTCATATTAAACGTGCAACCTCTTTACAGTTAATGCTTCCAATCAGTCGCTCAACTCTGTGGGTCGTCCTGTCTCGGCGCCTAGTGAGAGCATTAATAATAGCGCCTATGTAACGCCACCGGCGCGCAGATATGAAACGTCTACGCTGCCGGCAACTGCCACAACAACAGCAACTGCAACAACAACTGCCACGACAGCCAACAACTCTGCAACGTCTGCATCCAGTGCCAACCATGCAACGGCCACCAGCCATGAAGATAAGGGTAATCTAGCAAAGACCCAGCCAAAAGACACAGTGCATCTAATCTGATTTCGCTCTGTTTCCTCTCTTCTATTAGATAACGACAAGGAGAATGATAATCGCACACAGACTGTTATACAGCGACGTCGCAAGCCCAAGCGCAGATCCACGGGCGTGGTGCATATCGATATGGATGTAAGTGAATCTCATTCTCTATATCTCTTAGCATCTCAGTCTGCTAATTGCCAGGCCATTTGTCAAACTAAATGAGCCATGCGCATCTGTCAACTATATTTAGACCAAATGCTAATTAGCCAAACTAATGTACGTAAATCTTTTGCCAGGAAATCGATCCAGAGCGACAACATGAAACGGCTAACAATGACAACGAGGATAAGGAGAAGGAGGTAAATTAAATAATTAAAAATAAGTAGATATAAATAAATTAGCTTATTATAATATGCGAATTTCGTTAGCCTGTTCCGAATTGTGCAAGATTTGAATATGAACTAATTTAAAGATAGATCAAGTGAATTTCAATTGATTGCTCTTTGAAAATAATGAATTTGAAAAGAAGCCCCATTTAAAAATAGTTCACATATGTCGAAAATTCAAAAGTCTTAAACAATTTGAACAATTCTCGGAATACGTTAAAGCTTTTCATTTTCGTTTGCGAGTGCTTTTCAACGAATTCGCAATTCGGAACATGGCTAATTATATATTTGTAAATATTCTTACCTATACACCTATACCGCAACAACAACAACAACAACAACAATATCAAGAACAATTGGAACATATATTTTAGTACATAATTATTTTCGCACCTTGGCAAAAATTGGGTGCACAGCAGCTGCCCTGTCTTCTATCTAAATGCGTAGTCAATACTGCAACACACACACTCATCCACACACACTTATATATTCGTCACACCTTGTCACAATTTTAGACAGTCCCGTGCGTCCTTCAAAGTAGCTGCTGCTCTGCTCCGAGCTCTGTCTGTTCCAATTAGCCGGCGACCCATTTGTGCAAAAATGAAAAAAAAAAAAATTAAATTATGATTTCCATTAGAAGAAGCGCCGAGAATAAGAAGCAGCAGCAGCGGTACTAGCACATATGCACGTGGCATTGTGAATGCCATTGCTCCAATTGTGAATGATAAGTGTGCAGCACGCAAATCCTTTCATGGCCGAGGTCAAAACTATTAGTGCACATCCAATTTGTGACAATATTTGAGAATTTGATTTTCATTGCTGCTCAGCGAACCTGTTAACAATTTATTCAAATCATTTGACCAAATGCCGTTGTTGACCATTAATAAAACTGTCACATTTTCTAAATGCATCTATTCGAAATGCATTGGGGTCTACATATTCGGCAGACAGTTTGTCTAGCTGCCTGTCGGTCATAAAGTCTGTTTGCGTGGCACATTTAATATATAAGAAATATATCTATATGTGGGGAATATTACAAATTGTTTCGATTTCTTATTTTTGCTATTAGATTTCTCTAGTCTCTGATTGGTTTGTTAATCCCTGAGCTGTGTTTAAGCTTGGCTTCTTTTCGACCATTTATTGTATAATATATTGAAATATATTTGCTATGAAGTTTAAGTTTTCTACGTTTATTTTACGATTCATGTCTAAAGCTGCTTAGTAGATTAATGAATATCGTTATCTTTTATTTAATTTTTAGTTACTTTCATAGGAAGAGCTAAAATATAGATATTCTTACTCCGAGCTTCCAATTAGAATCTTACCTTTATATATCTTAGAGCCGTTCAGCAATATCCAGAAATCTCCATTCGGCTTTAATTGCAACCCTGGTTGCTTAGTGTCTGACGAAATCTGCTGTGTCTAATCGTGTCAACCATTAAGACTGATTGACGACGTCAAGTGTTCTTTCGACATATATATAAGTATATATGTATAGACACGATTAAGTATGAGTTGTTGCTAAAAACTATTAAACACTTTCACAATGCGCTTTTCACACAACAAATTGCCCACTTAGAAGTGCCGCACGCCCCAAAACAGCATTGCTCACACGTACATTGAACTTTGTTGTTCGCCGTGGCATGCCCGCTCCCCCAGCCGGCTCCACTCCTCTGCCTTCTGGCCAGGCTGAAGAAATGTACAACATTTGCGCCGCATTTGTCGCTAAATTTATACATTTTGCAATTTTGCATTTCGCAGCTCTCGTTTAAGCATTTGTTTCCTCATTCCCTGCCGGCTGCACTTTCCTCGCAGAGAGAATCTTTGCGAGGAGGTAGGAGCAGCAGCATGCGATAGGGGCAGCCGTCATGTACTATATTTAGACGGAACGCTTTCGTTTCTTCTACTTTTTTTTTGGCCTAGTTATGATTGTGTTCTTTTAGGGTAGGGAAACGATGCAACTTTCAAATTTAAATTTAGTTATGTGCACTTCACTTCACTCCCCACTTGCACGGCCCGGCGGCTCTCTTGGTGGAGGCTGTCGCTCCCTCTCTTTGACATGTGTCACGTGTCGTTGACTGTTTCGCCTTTTGGCCCAGTTGCTGCCTGGGGGCTGACCCCAGCATAGTTTAGAACATTTGCTTCTCGGACATTGGGCCAAATAAGTGTGCGATTTACTAAATTTAGCTGCCAACACACATACACTCTCACAGGTGATACACATGCACACATATACCTGGTGTGCGCAATTCAAGTGAAACAAATAATGTCCATTGCTGCCAAGGCTTTTTCCTCCCAACAGCTGCAACTCTTTGTTTTCATATTTGATAGACGCACATACGTATATCTATATAGCATATAATAATCATTTTCTTCAGTTTTGTCAGCGTTTTTCCGGCTTTTCTTGCGTATTCTGTGCACTCAATCGATTTCTCTTAAAGAAAACTTCTCTTAACTTGTGACGTTCGTTCTCTCTCGCTGTCTCTCCCTCACTCTCGTTCTCGCTCTCTGTTGCGTTTTACTATTTCTGATCGTGCGCCAAGTTTTTTTCGGTTTTCGAATAAAACATTTCAATACTTTGCTTGGCTCGCTCAGTTGAGTTTTATACGGCTAACGTAACGGATCAATAGCCACTGCAACAGCAATAGCAACAATTTTAACAACCACAAATTCAAATTAATTTATTATTTTTAAAGTAAATCACAATTAAATACGGACGAGTGCTTTGAGTTAACCTAACCACAAGCGTCTGTCAAATGTGTCAAAAGATATTTGCAATATTCTCGCTATCAGCTTACCAGAGACCTGAGATCATCTGAGACTCTAGACTCAAGACTCGTGACTCTTGAGAGTCGCCACAAGGGGGGGCAAGTTGTATGTGTGTTGCCAGTTGTTGGTCTTCAATTGAACAAACGTCTTGCTGTTCCCATATTTGGAGTATTGCGCACAAATTTCGTTTTTTATTTCATTTTTGTTTTGGACATTTCAAGTTTTTTGAGTTTTGCTCTCTATATATGGTCAAATATTTTGATCAGTTTTTAATTTGATTGCATTTGTGCGCGTGTTAAAGGTTAAAGTTGAAAAATCATTGCATTGAAGCAACTATTTAACAAATGTTAACAATTTGCACAGAAATTTATTGCTATTAAAAGTTACATAGAGGAGCTCATTATTTAAATAAAAGAATTATTCAATTCTAATATTATTTATTGACTTTATAAGTCTGTTTATTAAGCAATTCAAATATTTTCTTACAATATTTCATTTAAGCATTTTTGAAAACATTTTTATTATTTCTAAATCATTTCATAATCCCATAGAACTTGCCCCCTGATCTTGGCATCAATTTGTTTCAGTGCCGTGAATTGTTTTTTTCAAGAAATTTTTATCTGCCGCATTAGCCAAGCTAAATTGTAGAATTACTACAAAATTGTAAAAAGTCTGGTCGTAAAAACACAAACTTTTCCATATTGTTGCAATAGGTCGTAAAATCATTTTGTGTCTGGCATCGAAGCTTCATTCATGGACAGAAACTAAATTAGCTTGAGATAGCTCGATATATATGAGGAAACAGCAGCCGACTCATAAATTAAATGCACTCGACATTTTGATTAAATGAAACGTCGTTGTACCCTGTGATACAAATGGGATTGGGTATGCTGTGTGTGCTAAAGCTTAGATAAAGAAAATTTTGAAAAATCAAATTCGTGTGCTATAGATTATTTTAGAAAGTATTTGCATCGTAGACTTTCATTGCATATATGTTTACAGGGTATTTCTCAGTTGCATAATGCTTGTTAGCCTCTTCAGCTAGTTAGCCCGCTGTTTCACTCTCGCGTGGGTGAAGCATCATCATCACTTAAGGCATTAACACCGCACAGTAAATAAACAGAAAACGCCAAGGCGTCTCCTGCCCATAGATTAGTGCCTTTTGTATGTCTTTTCAATATTATTATAAAATTTATGTAGGAACAAACACAGCAGACCTCCCTAAACATAACCAAAAACACACTCGCGCACACTCTCTCACACACACACCTTGGGGAAACGATTTTTCTACCGCAGTGCGGCAAATTTAAAACAGAATGTCAAAATTTATGTCTTGACGTCATTTTGTTGATCGATTGAGCATGGGAGGGGATTGAAGTGCTGGCGGTTTAGTTTTCCACATGTCAATATTGCGTTTTCCTTTTCGAATTCAAAGATCGTTTCACTTTATACAGCGAAAATTTGTTTGTTTTTCCACTTTTGTTTATGCCAAAAGAAGAAGAAAGAAAATGAAATTCAGAAATTGTACAAATTTCTAAATGGAAAATTTTAAATTGCAAAAGTTCTGCTGATTCGGTGCGCTCTATGCTCTGGCAAGCTGTTTGTGAAGCGTAATTGCAATATAGCGGTGTCGATTGATAAATGAGTCTCTGTGGGCTATTAAGCATATACTAAAGACCGATTTCTTTATAGCTAGCCTCTGTGCATAGATTGAGAGGGAATTAGTGAGCTAATAGTGCACGTCATGTCCTTTCGCTCGAGATCGCGCACTCAGGCGCCGCTGACCAGCCGACGGCGTTCGCTCTCCTCCAGCTCCCGAATGGGAGCCTCGGGTGTGGGGGGCAGCAGCTCCTCCTCGGCTGGCGGCTACAACTACAATGGCAGCAGCTACAATTCGCGACCCCTCAGCACGGGCTACTATCCGAGCAGCAGTACTGCAGGCAGCAACGGCAGCTACCAGAGCCCCTACACCAGCATCTATAGCTCCCGCGAAAGCCTTTACGGAGGTGGCGGGAGCAGTGGCGCGTCAGGGCGTGGCTCGTCGGGCAGCTACTATACAAATGGTAATGGGAGCAGTAATCGCTATGATTACATCAAATATCATCAGGCTTATCAGCCGCCGTCAGGCAGCTGCTCATCCGCTTCTACATGCTCATCCGGAGGCAGCGCCTCCACCGCCAACTCGAACTCAACTAAAAGCAATCATAGAAACGGCAGCTACTACCAACTGCACCAGTTGCAGGCTTCTTCAGGCAATAACCAGAATCACTACCACATCGTAATTAGCAAGCATAACGGCAATAGCTATGGCAAATCTAAAGCGTCTGCTCTTTCCAACTCCACTTGCCCCACTTCCAACTCGTCCACTGGCTGCTCGAATACCACAGCCGGCGGCGGTGGCTATGAGAGTTCGCGTTATGGCTATCCCAGCGCCTCGGCATCCAGCTATGGCAGCGATCATCGTTATGTCAGCCCATACTCTAGCAGCTATGACAATGGCGTGACCACAGCCTCGCTCAGCTTTAAGTCACCTGGCCTGAGCTCCTCCAACTCGTTCAAGAGCTCGGCCAGTGCCAGGCTGCTGAAGACCAAGTCATTGTCCACATCCAACAGCAGCCTCAACACGGGCAGCAGCACACCGACCAGCGCGGGTGCCACGGTGGCAGCCATTGCAGCCACGCGCAGCAACTCCCTGCGGGAGCAGGAGCGCAAGTCCCGCAATCGTACGCGATCCCGCAGTGCGGCTCAGCGTTCGATCAGTGCCTCATCGGAGAAGAGCGAGGGCTATGAAGTAAGCAATTAGGTGAAATGTTCTTGAATGTTGTTGCAGGTGGTAAAACTATTGATTATTATTAGTTAATATTATATATAAGTCTATTTAGCAAAGATTGGATTTCATAATTTTGTATATTTTGCTTTGCAGAGCGGCAGCGAACGTACCTCACGCTCGCGCACTGGAAGCACGGCGACAGCGAGCACCGGCAGCGACTCAAAGAGCTCCAGCAACAGCGATAAAGCGGAAAACGGCGATGGCATCGATTATAAGGCGCTCTGGGAAGCGGCCAAGTAAGTATTACTAGGAGTAGCCAGAGCAAGTAATATGAAGAGCCGTATATTATGGCCGTCGTCGATCTGTAAGACTGAGGGTAAACCATCTCAGTGTATTAGAAGAGAGCAGAGAACTAGTTCAGAAAATGAATATGTAGTCACTACTGAAAGAGTCATGGAATTGTTTCGTCTTTTATTATGAATTCACATCGTAATCTATATGTAGGATGTCATTAGCTGTTCGTTAATTTGTAATGGGTGACTCCATTCTACAATCTCTTTATACATATGACTCATCTCTCTATCTCTCATCTCTGCTTTAGATTGGAGAACGACAAGCTCAAGCAACTGCTCAAGCAAAAGGATGAGGAAGCGGTGCAGACGCGTGCAACGCTCGAGCGCTTTGCCAATGCCGTAAGTAAAAAGCCCACTAACATGCCACGCCCACTACTACAACAACAACAAGTACTCAATAAATGAAATACGAATTAGTATTTTGTGAAAACAGCAAACAGCAAATACCAATCAAAAACAAAGAAAAACTCTCAGCAGTAACAAAGAAAACAACGCACAAACAAACCACAGCTCAATTTCTGCCTAACTCTATATGCTGCCCGTCTGTTGGGGCCTAGCTGTGATCTCTTTCGCTCTTTTGCTATCACACACACATACATACACAGAGACACACACATTCACACAAAGAAATTTTTCTTATACACTCTCCTCTTCATCAACCCAGCAAAATATTACTGAGTTGCTTTAGGACATGGCTCAGATCAAAATTTGTGCTTGCTTGCCGCTCGCGCTCTGTTTCTTTCGCTCTCGCTCTCTATCCAAATGTTAAACAACACTACAACTGAACAACAGTAACAGTAACAGTATGACACGATACCGTTATCCCACATGCTTTAGTATATTGATATGCAAGACCAAACGCCAAAATTTGTTCCATTTCCACATTCGCAGACCACTAAAAACTCGCTCTCTGAGATTGAGAAACGTGAGAGAAGAGCTATGGAACGCAAGGTTTCCGAATTGGAAGAAGAGCTCAAGGTAATTACAAATGTGTTCCAAATCCAAAACATTCCCCAACGCCCACCCACCGATAACAGTTAACAACGTCTCCTGCCTGAATGCTGTTTGCAATTTGATTTGATTTCAGTTTTGTTTTTTTTTGTTAATGGTATCCCAGGTATCGCAACCCGTTTCGCTAGATACCATCCATTCCGGGACTGTTTTGATTTCTGATTTCTGCTTTTGTTTTATAATTTGGCCGAGAAAGTTTTATAGTTTATTTATTTTTTTTAATTTAAAAAATCCTCACTTCTGCCGCATGTTGAACGAGTTGGCTAATGCGGCCCTCTTCTGATCTCCCCTGCTTATTTTTTTGATCCCCCACCTAACTGTTAATTTCCCACTGCAATAACCCTAACACTATTTCTAAAGCAATTCTGTTATAGCCGCACTCCGTTTCGATTTCCCCCGACCAATTGTTTCGCACCCCATTTAAAGACGTCCCGATCGTACAGATGCTACAGATCGTATATGTATATTTTCATTATCTCTCGCTTTATGATTTTGGCCACTTTTGCAATTACGACGGCACCGTTGCGATTGTTTATAATTTCGTTTATTATTTGTACTAGCGATAGAGCTGCACATACATAAGCTGTTGCCTTGATTAATTCTTTGTTTTTCTTGAACCACCCAACCGATATCCAAAACAACAATCATCTGTATAATATCATCTGCATACATGCATCACCAAAACATCTCATTGTGTGTTTTGTTTTCGTAGAACAAGAAAACTATTCATCCATATCTCATTGTCTCATTGTTTCATATGTCCATATTATCTCATTCTCATTCTCATTCTCAATCACTCTCACTCTCTTTGTCGTCACATTGTCAGCCATTTGTTGTTATGATTTGGTCACACACAATCCATGCGTTATACGTTTACCGTTATACGTTTACGTTTTACGTTACTCATTTGGCGTGCTCTTATTTTTTTTGGCACGCCATTCTCTTTAATATTAACGCAATGCGCTCATTTCAGAAAAATACGCTCACTCAAATTTTGTTTTTCTTTTTTCTCTCTTCCCACGCGCGCCTCATCCATCGAATCGAAACGAAACGAAATGTATTGAAAAAAAAAAAAAAAAAAAACAAATACGAAAAATCATATTTATATATTTATACAACAAACGTACCACAACTGTTGTGTGTATCACTCTCTGTTCTTCTTCTTCTACTCGCTATTGTGTCGTTTTAGCTCTTACAGAAGCTAAAGACTGAGAACGACCGACTGCGTGCCGAGAATCGTGCCCTCACGCGTGTCGTCTCTAAGTTGACAACATCGGCCCAAAGTCAGCTGGCTAAAAGCAAATAGGCAACAGTTAACAGTTCACAGTTTACAGTTACTTTGCCCAGACTACAGCAAAGAAATTTAGATACATGCATACATACATATAACTAAATAAATATTAGAAAACAGCAAAATCAAATATCGTAATCGTAATCGCAATCGCAATCGTCATCGTTATCGTTTCTATATATGCATACATCAATATACACCAAACAGCAGTACACCAAGAATAGTTAAAATTATTTATCTAAAAGATACTCGGACACCACCATTTGATGTGCTAGCTAGCGATCAATTAATCAAATAAAAAACTTATTAGATTCTACTATTATCATTATTATTTAAAAAAAAATAAAATTATTATTAAAGAAATAATTTGCATTGTTATATTGAGAGCAACATGTAACAATAATTGATTGTATTCTAGTTTTAAAATTAAGTTTACAACAACACTTTTTGCGAGGGGCAACTAAGCACTTTTGCATAGCCTGGCACTACTGTTTTATAAGGCCTGAAGCTCAATCGATATAATACTATATATACAACACATACACTTTAGCTAATGAATTTGTTAATTGAAGCCACTCAGTAAAGATATCGCTGCAGCATATACATATATATCATAGCACATACATATATCCACAAAATATCGCATATACTCGTAATCAAAATCATCGCAACTTCAAGGATTGTAGACAAAAAGCTCAACCAAGGCTGACCAACAACAACAACAACAACTCTACTACAACAGCAACAACAACAATATTAAAGGGTCGCAGCACCATCAGCACAGATCTAGTATATTTTCTTATATGCAATGCGCTTAACGGTAATTGATCCACACTTGCACTGAGAAGAAAACCTGCATCATATATATGAGCTGACTGTTGTTTTGTTGTTGTATAATACCAATAAAATATATATATCTATATGAAAACAAATAGCTAAACTAAATTTTCTAAGCCAAACTAGTTATAATATTGTTTTATGTGGGGAGTGTTTCAAACGTTGTGTTTTTTTTTGCAAAATTCTGCTCCTATTGTCTTACACATAGAATATTGGATTACTTGACAGTTTTGAAACACTCGGCTGTATATATATACATATATATATTTATATATACCTACTTTATTGTGTAACTATACTTACTTTACTCTATGACAAAATTGTTCCCTTGTTGTTAATATTGTTAAAATGTTTTTGCCAAACAAATTTTATATACTCATGTGTCTGTGTGTGTTTTATCTCATCTATCTATATCTATATGATAGTTATATCAGAGTTACGATAATAAAAGTTTGACCATTTGTAATTCCTTGCAAAAGGCTGTTTATTGTTTGTTGTCCTTCTCTGTGCATATACCAACACCTTTGTCAGTTAGACGAAAATGTGTTTCTTTGTTCTACATTTGGCAACAGGAAGCAAGCGTCCATATCGTACATGTGCCTCACACACATATAGAAGCATCTATAAGTTTTTTTAATCTTAAGTCTGTTTCGTTTTCTTTGTTGGGTTGTTGTGCATGTTGCTGTCTGTTTTCCTAGGGCGTTCAGTTCCAGAGAGATGAGGTTCTAGATATAGATGTCGATATTGATATACATATAAGAATATGTATATATCTATATCTAAGTGGAGTTATGTTTTAACTAATGTTTGTTTGTTGTTCTTGTTGTTGCTGAGTTGCTTTCAACTAAATCGCATGATATATATTTTATATATTTTTTCCTTTATAGAGAAGCCATCTAATATACATATACCCCCTCAATTCTATTCTTTCAATGTGCTGTTGAGCTCCTTATTTTTTGTATTATTTATAATTGTTTTCACTAATTTTGTTCAATTTTCTTTTACTTTCGCTGCACTTTCCACCAATCCAAATCCAGCAACTCGATGCCTACAAATCGGACAACGATCGCCTAAAGGAGGAGAACGCAGCGTTGATTAGAGTAATTAGTAAATTAAGTAAATGAAATTATGTCTTAACTTAAATGTACTCCAATCAAGAATAACAAAAAGAAAAAAAAAAAAGAAAGAAAAACAAAAACAAATCAACATCAACAAAAAGCAAATTCAACAAAATTGATATAAAAAGCAAAGAAGAAAAGTTCTGTTTAATATTATTATAATTATTATGATTATTATATTTTGTGTGTTAAGGCATTTAAGAGCAAGTTGGGAACCATGTTTCAAAAATCGTTGAAAATTGTTTGTTTTCTTTTCTTTTTTTTTTTTTTAAATCTCTGTCTCTCTTCCAAATTGAATATTATATATAATATATAAAGAAGTTGATGAATGGAGCGTAAATTTGATTTCTATATATGTATACAAGAAACAAAATAGTGAAAATTATAAACATCAAAAAGAAAAGGAAAAGTTAAGTATAGATTTTAGATGTTGTATAACGGTTAATTTCAAACAAAAAGAAAAATCTTTACGAAAAAACTGAGAAACATATTCATCAAATGAGCCCCTAGTTACAGATTAGTTTAACTACATACACATATTGCATACATATAAAAATATATATTTTTCATATATACATATAAATTATATATACACACACACCATACACACATACAAAAAACTCATACAGCTAAAAAGTAAGAAATTAAATTGTTTGTGAGAAATGTTTTTGAAAGCATCCCACGCAATGTCAACGTAATTAATTTATTAAAGCTGTAATTGTTTATAAAGGAGAAAAAAAGAAGAAAAAGTGACGAAAACTTAACTCATTTAGCTATAAATTACAAATTTTGTAAACAATCAGTGGATATTCATATGAGAGTTATGCATATGCAACAATACAAGAAATATATGTATATATGTATATTTCGAATGTCTTATATATGTATATGTATGTAAACCATGGCGCTACAAGTTGTATATATCGATATATATATATACTCCTAAATGTATGCTACAGAATGTTGCATATGCATATAGAAACTTGATTTAAATCATTATGTTAATTTTAAGTTGTTCACTTTTTGGAAACGTATTATATATTGTCGTACTATACTTATTTGAATTTCGCCTATATATGATTATTGAAAATTCGTTTAAGAGATTTTTGTGTTACTCGTGATGAAACGACAAAGCAAACAAACTGAAAAAAGAAAACAAATAAGTGAATTGTGTAATATGTAAAATTGTGAGAAAAAAATATTCAAATACGAAACTTAATAAATGTGATCGCAAAGTAATTGAAAAGTGTATTTCATTGTTAGTGATTTGAGAATCATAGTCTGAGCTGTGAGATGTTATACATATATGTATGTGTAAATTGGCTGAACTTGTTTATAAATTAAAAAGAGTACATTGGTTTGTGACTCATCGTTAGCTAAATATAAATGTTAAGAGGGAGCATGAGTTATATAGAAAATTATATACTTAGATTGACGTCATACAGCTAGAGGACTTGAACAAAGAGAGATCCTCTGTCACTCAGAGTCTAGTATAAAGGGGAAAAGAGCTGCGTGAACTATTGAGTAAGTTTTGTAATGCAAACAGTTTGTCATCTTTTCTGTCAAAAATATAAATTATGTGATATACAGTCGACTTCTCAAACTTTTTGCATAAAGATAAATCTCAAACAGATAGGAAAAGCACAATCAAGTCTAACAAATGGGAATAGCTTTGCCATTTATCTATAGCCATCAATCTACATAAATTATTATAATGTTTGTAAATAAAAAAAAAAATAAGGTACATCTATTATTGGACACATTTAGTTGCGCCAAGTGAAGCGAAATGATGCATGAGAATATTTGCTGTACTTATTGAGGCAATGACATCAATGGACGGATTTGAACAATTATTTTGCGATTATTTGAGATATTTTAAATAATGATGCAAACTGCAGAGTCCAACCAAAAAAGGTCGTTATTAGTCAAGAACAAGAGTCAACTACCTCTATCTAAAACATCTTCTGCACAAGAGGCAGCACAGCACGTGTAGTAATAAAGCCGTAAGAGCATACTATCAGAGGCTGACGTACTGCGGGATATTTGGCTGACTTTAGTCTCTGAACAGTATACAGTTTTGGGCAGAGCTATAGGCTACAAGAGGGGTTAATGGAAATAACCTTTGATATGGGCAATTAAGAAATCAACGTATAGCATTGCAGGTGTAACTAAAACGGGTACTAACTGAAGTAATTTTAGAGCGTAAAAATATATACTCTATATGTTGACATAGGTATCTCTGTCTATATATAATTATAGCTGACGACGAATTTATGTTCTTATTATTATTTCTCGAATTATGTTAATGCATGCAAACGTACGTCGCCTGAGTGTGTTTAGACTTAAGCACGCACTGTTTAGTGGGGGCTTATTGATAATTTGGCCTCTGATGTCTAACCTGGTTAAAAATATAAAACGTAAAACAATAGAGCGCACGTCATCATAGACCAGGAATAGAAGCAGGAGAAGCTATATTTAAAGCACTCGCACTCGTTTGGCCCACGGTGCGTTTCGGCTGCTCAGACGCCCGTCCAAATGTCACTCGACTCAATGTTGTGTGCGCCGCCAGCTGCTCAAAAGCCAATTGAGTGGAAGTGCGTTGAGCGCGGCTTAAATAACTTTTCAGTTAGCCAAAAAGCGGCAGTTTCGCTCAAAGCGTCTCTACGTTCACAACGTTCGTCGTCGTCGTCGGCTGGGCCAAAAAGTAGAAAGAAAAAAAAAAACAACTTTAATTTATTTAAACTGGCCCATTGCAACGCCGCGGCGCACAAGTAAACCATATTTATATAAGTTTTTGGCGAAGTTGTGAAATTAAAGTGTTTTAGCCAAAAACGCGCAAGCCATTCAGTTTGAAACGGATATCTAAAAGTGAGTTCATGTTGCATCACTTACATAATAGGGGAAAGGATATGGACAAGAAAAAAACTCACACCTACACATACAAGAGAAAAATACAAGCAAACACGAAGCAAAATTGAAGCCGAAGAAAAACTTTCGCTTTCACCGAAGCACCGCATGGCTTGAGCTTTTCTCAAGCTTCAGTCGAGTCGAGTTTTATTTTTTTTCGACTACTATGCTGTGACATCTGTGCGGATTAGATCAAATATCAAACTGAAGTTCTGGGCAATTATTAGGCCTGTTCTTGGCTTTCACTTTCAGTTTGGTTACACAAATTTCGTCAAGTGTATTTATTAATCGCTTATGTAATTTGGTATTTCTGCATATCTGCGATCTGGTATTGGCCAATAGCGGCGGTGCGATTGCTCAACCGACAAGTCAATTAAAATTACGCGCTAGTTGGTAATACGCTATACGTTAATAGTTTGAATGTTAAGCCAAAGGCCCGTGCGGCAAGGCCAACGCCATTAAAAAAAGTAAATAAAGCGTACGGACACAGAGCCTATGCAATCAGCGTCTATGTGACTTTTCAGTTATGAATACCCATATGTATATAGATACAATTGTGTGTGTATATAGACATAGCTCATATTCATTGATATTCAGCGGCGATCACAGTTTAGCAACTGCAGTAACGGTCACACTCTTGTGACCTCGCTGTACGCACACCATTCGCATACAGACCCCCAAAAGAAGAGTCGACAAACATTCGACATTTCATATACAATGTGCCTTGGGGGCTTTTATATAGAGTTCCCAATCAATAAATGTTATGAATTCGTACAGTCGAACGTGTTGAGACTTGACAATTAACACTTTCAGCTAATGAATTGTGTATTTTCTAATGATGGCGATTCATTCCGTTGCATTCTAATGATCGAGAGATTACGTACTCGCCTCTTACAGCGACTTGTAGAATTAGTATTCATGTTAAAAGGTTTCCCCTTCAATGACAAAGTGTTAAATATTAGTTTAGCTGCAGTAGATTTCTTAAGTGGGAGGCTTAATGTGAACTTACATCAATATCCGGCATATGCGATTCGAGCTAAAGTTTGAGTGAATTGTAAACCTGGAGTTGAAAGCTCTGCCCCAGCCAGAAACTCGTTTCGAGTGTCTTCCGCTCTTGCACTCTCGCTCTCCCTCTTTCTCTATCGCACGCTAGCTCACTCTTATTTTTGGCTGCTGGCGCTTTGTTGCTGTACTTGAGTTTTGTCAGATTTGATGTTATGATGTAACCACGAAGCTAATTGGCTGAGCGGATGCAGAGAAAGAGCGAACAAAAGAAAACACAAATTGCACGTCGCAAAGCTCAGCTTGAAATGCTCGCTCTCCGTTTCCCGTTGTTGCTTTTGCTGCTGCGGCAGCTGCTGCTGCTGTCTCCTGTAGCGCATATGGCCATATGACCCAAAAACGCAATCGTCAATAACTACACACACACATATATATATGTATATACATACACGCCCATATGTACATGGGCATGTAAACTGGGCATAGTCAAAGCAGGGCATGTTACGAATTTCTGTTTTATTTTTTTGTTTTTTCTTTGAGCAGTGTCAAAGCCCCGCACTCTTCCTCTCAGCTCACATTGAAATCTGTGTGAAGGCCATGAAAGTGAAAAAAAAACATCAAATAAAACTTGATTTAACGCCGTCCACTGTTATGGCCATCGCTTTGGGAGTCTGCTCATAAACAGTTTGTTGACCAAAAACGGTTCGTTTTCTTTCTTTCTGTGCTGTGGCGAGCCAATTAATATGGCCATTAATACTGCGTAGAGGCAATGCTTTATATATCTCAAGTATATAGCTTCAATTGACCATGTTCAAGTGGCCACTGGCCAATGACAGATACAGTGCCTGCAAGCAGTTGACAACTGCTGCAGGTGATATAATCTTCTGCTGCTCTGTTGCCTTTATCTCTTCGCTGACCTTCGAACCAAATGGGCTTTTGAGCATGTAGAAATTTAAATAAGCGATCGTATGATGTGCTCGAATCGGTGTTCATATGCAAAACGAACTGTCCCTTCATTTTGGGTCATGGTCAATGGACCGGTAGATAGACAAAAAGAAGCCAACAGCCAGCAGCCGATCACCTGTGGATGTGGCTCTGTCTATGGCTGTGGCTGTGGTAATTTCAGCCAGATAGATATCAGCAGCTCTCTATTTAATCGATGCTTTGGTTTTTTTTTTTTGTTTCAATTTGCCAACTCTGAAGCTGATAATCATATGCAGATACATAGATGTTTTGACACTAACTAATGCGCGGCAGCTGCTACCCACGCAACATTGATTGCCGTAAAACCCAACTCAAACTCACAGGCAAAGCCAATGACCCAAGTTTAAGAGAAAACAAACTTGAATGCAGGTGGGCCTTAATTGTATCTGTGTACCTACGTCTGTGTGTGTGTGTGTCTGTGTGAATGCTGGTTAATGTAGGTTAGTAAACAGCAGTTAATACTCAAAGTTCGATGAATTTTAACATTTAGCAACGGCTTCTGTGGCTGACCAAGGCCAACTACACAATTAGTACTATTCGTTGTATACACAGCGTATACGTAATAAATCGTTTTTAGTTTCTTTCTGTATACACTTTAATTGGCTTTCAGCAGGTATAATAAACATAATTGTATTTATTCTTGCAGTGCTGGAAACTGAGGTGCGACAACAACCCAAGCTCAATGGATCCTCATCCAATGACAAGGACTTTGATCCGTATGTTTGCTCTCTGAGCCCTGACTTGAAGGCCGTGGCCTGGGAGGAGCTGCACGAGGATGAGAATATACGGCGACAGGCCTTGGCTCAGTTCCGCGAGTGGATTGCCAAGCATCCGCACATCAAGAAGTGTCGCACTGATGCGATCTTCCTGCTGCGTTTTCTGCGCACCAAGAAATTCTCAGTGCCCGCAGCTTGCGAGATGCTCGAGCGCTATCTGACCATTCGCCAGTTGTATCCCCAATGGTTCCAGAAACTGGACATCAATGACCCGGCTATCAATGAGATCTTCGATGCTGGGTATTTGGTGCCGCTGCCGCAGCGCGACTCGACCGGGCGTCAGGTGATCTTCTCGGTAGCCGCCAAGTTTGATCCCTACAAGTTCACATCGGTGCAGATGGCGCGCGTGCACAGCCTGATCTGTGAGTCGCTGCTGGACGAAGAGGACTCGCAGGTGTCGGGCTATGTCTATGTGAACGACGAGAGCGGCATGAACATGGGCTTCGTGAGCCTCTGGTCGCTGACCGATCTGCGCAGCATCATGAAGTGCATTCAGAACTCGACGCCCATGCGCCACAAAGAGACGCATTTCGTCAATATTCCCCACTATGCCAATCGCATCATTGAACT